CAAATAAAACAACAATCCATGGAGTCACGGTGGAGTATTCGAAATTATCTATGGGTTCCAAGTTTATTTTAATTTCATATATCCATGAGTGTGATTACAATCATAAAATAAATACATATAAAAACCCTCAACCTTGTATACATAACTAATCAAAATAATTAAAATCAATCCATCATCTTCATGCTAATACAATATCAAACCAACATCAAATAAATAAAAACAACGAAATAAACATAAATAAAGGAAAGTGGGTTTTACACTCACAATTATTTTTTGAAAATCAAAGAAATATTTAGAGAATTAATAAAGCTACCAAAATAAAACCCTAACCCCTTTTCCTCCTCCTCTTTCGCTGTTACTCTGTTTTGATTAATCTCTCTCTCTCTCTCTCTCTCTGCTTTCTCACACACAGGGCCCTTTTTTCTTTCAATCTCTCATCTTTCTCCCGTGGCTGCTCCTCTCTCTCTCGGCTTTTTCCTTTTTTGTGATCCTATTTGTTTTTTTGTTTTTTTTTTGTTAGGCAGCACCCTCTGCTTTTGTTAACCTAATTACTATTATGTTATATTTTATCAATATATAAAACACTTCTTTTTATATAAAAATATAAATATTCAGATTAATTATATATAATTAAATATCACATTAAATTATTTAAACAACATATTAAATTCTCATCTAACCACGCAATTAATTAAGCCAAAAAAATTAAAGTAATAATAATAAATAATGACTTACGAAAAGTTAGGGCCGCTACAATATACATACCTCGAAATCTCGTCCCGAGATTCGTTAGGAGAGAGTATTAAGCAAAAAGTTCTGGGTGCATACGCCGAACTTTCTCTTCCAATTCCCAAGTGATATCGTTCTCATCCTCGCTCCATTGCACTTTCACCAAGTTCACTTTCTTGAGCCGCAATTGCTTTACATCCAGATCTAGAATAGTAACCACTCACACCACATACGTGAGATCATCACTAGTCTCCAACACTTCTGATGATACTACTTGGGAATTGTTTTGCACACACTTCTGCAATAAAGATACATGGAACACATTGTGAATTATAGCTAAAACAGGTGGTATGGCTAATTTGTAAGCCACATTACCAATCTTCTCAGTGATCTCGTATGATCCCACAAATCTAGGTGCCAACTTTCCCTTCTTTCTAAACCGCATGATACCCTTCGTCGGCGAAACCTTCAAAAACACAAAATCTCCAATATTTAACTCAATCCCCTTACGTTTTCTATTAGCGTAACTCTTCTAACGACTCTATGCAGTCTTAATACGTTCCCGAATAATGTTCACCTTCTTTGTGATCTCTCTCACCAACTCTGACCCTAACAACGACGCATCTCATACCTCTATCCAGTAAGTAGGTGATCGATATGGCCTCTTATACAAAGCCTCAAAATGTGTCATCCCGATACTGGAGTGATAATTAATATTTTAAGCAAACTTCACCAATGGCAAATGCTCTTCTCAACTACCACCAAGATCGAGGATGCAAGCTCTTAACATATCTTCCAAGATCTAATTTACTCACTCAGTTTGCTCATCCGTCTGAGGATGATAAGCTGTGCTCAAGTCTAACCTAGCACCCTAAGCATGCTGAAAACTCTTCTAAAACTCTACCACAAATAACGGATCACGATCTGAAATTATAGAAACTGGCACGCTGTGAAGTTACACCATCTCCCGAATATACAGCTTAGCCAGTTTATCCACAGTTCGGTGAACACTGATGAGAATAAAATGAGCAGACTTGGTGAATCAATCCACTATCACCCAAATAGATTCATTGTCTCGCTTAGACCGCTGCAATCCATCCACGAAGTCCATAGAGATGTACTATAGGGATCTCAAGAGGTTGTAAAAATTCAAACGGTCGTTGGTGTTCTTCCTTAACCTGTTGGCACACACAATATCGAGAAACATACTCTCCTGCATCCTTCTTCATACATTTCCACCAAAACATCCTATTCAGGTCATGATACATCTTAATCCCACCAAGGTGAATGGTATATCGGGACCTATGGGCATCATCTATAATCTATTTCTTTAATTCAACAATATTAGGTACACATAACTTGCCTCTAAATCGAAATCCCCTATCTGAGTCTACAGACCAATCAGTAGGATAATCATCGATCAAATCCACTACAAGATCATTGAGCTTGCTGACAAGGATCCCGTCTAAATACTGCATCTGATGAACTTTACTCAATAACGTCGGCTGCACGGTCAAACTACCAATGTATGCCTTCTCCACACTCTCTATTGGTTAAACATTATGCATCGAAATGAACTCCAAGGACTTCCATTCATGAATCATCAAAGAAGCTATAATCCCAAGTTGTCGACTAAGTGCATCTGCGGCCACATTTCCTTTTCCTGGATGGTAAAGGATCTCAAAATCATAACAACTGATGAATTCAACCCACTTTTGTTGCCTCATGTTCAACTCTTTTTGAGAAAAAAGATATTCGAGGCTCTTGTGATCTATGTATAACTCAAAGCGCTCCCCAAACAAGTAGTGTCACCACACTTTCAATGCAATGGAATATGTAAAAATCTCTTTTGTGGAAAAATCATTGTTTTATGGAAACATGACTTTATTTATTGAATTTAAAAAGAATGATATTTATTTTATTCAATCTTATAATTTTAGGTTAGTTAAAGGCTTTAGACTTAAAATGAATTTGTATGAAATAATTAACTATTAAAATCATAAAATAGAAAGTGAATAGAGGCCAATCTTCAAATTGGGCAAAATGAGTGCTTTTATTTAATGACCTTCCCTTTTTGTACTTAAGCTCCACAGTCTAGAAATTTTCTAGTTATGACGGACTGATCCTTAACTTAATTTTCATCGTTTAAGGTTTCTTAATTCTTCTTTAAAAATTAAGTGACAACCCTTTATTGTTTAAGCAAGTTAGTCCAATGTTTGTATAGGAAACGGGTCTTAGACTCGAAAAAGGCACAGTGCCCACACAGGCTTAAAAGCTAGTTTTTAGCTAAAAATAGGTTCAGGGGTAAAACGGTCTTTTTTGCAAAAAAGTTAATTTTTGGCTAAAACAGGTTTATATAACAACTTCAAACAATTTTAAATATTCCAAAGGTGAAGTAATAACCATTTCATCATCGGGAGGTTTGCAAGTACCTAAAATTTTAGGGTCAGTCAAAATGGGGTGTTTACAAAACTAAACTCTAAAAATTATAAAAACATATCTTAATTTTGTCGATGTTTGATGTTCACAACTCTACCACAAAGAAGTAGCACTAATGTAGACAGAGAGTTTGAGAAAGGCATCGTCAACCATGCAAAAGCAAAGACTATGGCATAGGAGGCAAACAACAGTTAGATGGCGGTGTAAACGTCAACCATGGATATGGTAGTGTTTGAAGATGGGCTGATGGCTTTTAGAAATCTGAGAGCTTGAGGATGCTTTAACGAAGGTAAAGGAGATAGACAAAAGAGAAAAAGAACATAACGACTTAGGGTTTTAGGCTACGTTGATGGAAAAAATATATATATACAAAAGTGTGAATGGTCCAAATAGTATTTGCATGAACAACTGGGATTAAATACACATTGCATTTTAATTCAGTGTGGTTCGATACATGTGATTTTCATATCAGGGCCCGTTTGTTTTCAGAGGTAGAATGGAGGAGATTGATAGTGAGGGGATTAATAGTGAGAGAATTATTAGTGAGGTGATTGATAGTGAGGGGATTAAATAAAATTGTATTTGTTTTGATAATAGCTATTAATGTGAGGATTGTTAAATTATTTTTATATAAAAGAAATATAAAATAATAAAATAAATAAAACTATGATTTTTACTTAACAAAAAATACAAAAACGTTAAACATTAATGTTAAAAAAATGCCCAACATGTTAAAAAAAGATAAAAAAATAAAAATAAATTGGATTCATAATTTTTTAATGGGTCTAGTTTGTCTTATGTTTGAAATCAAGACTAGATCGTCCAGTCCGGCCCATGGGTCTATTTTTGGGTCCCTTTTCAATAATCTAAACCGTTCAATGTATAGAACTCGTCGAGTATTATATCCCTATAAAAAATCACTTTGATTGGATATCGATAGTTATTTGATCGAATCAGATTTCTGTCAACCATTTATTTTTTCATCTTTCATTTTTTTATACAAATCTGATTCGATCAAATAGCTACCAATATCCAATCAATATATTGTTTTACAAAGATATAGTACTCGATGAGTTCTACACATTGAACGGTTTGTATTATCAAAATGGGGCCCAAACATGGGCCCGTGGGCCGGACTGGATGACCCAATCTTGATCTCCAACATGAGACAAGTTGGATCCTTTTCTAATACCAAGTTTTTAGACTCCATCTCAATCCCAACCTCTAAGGCTTATCCTAATCTGAAAGGCTTATGAATTCTCTCTCCATCTCCTAAAATAAACATAATATTAGTAGATCTCATTTCCATCTCAATCCTATTCCTTCATTCATCTCCCAAAACAAACAGGCCCTCACAATGACCGAAGGCCCTGTTTGTTTTCAGAGGTAAGATAGAGGGGATTGATAGTGAGGGGATTAATAAAATTGTGTTTGTTTTGTTAGTGAGAGAATTGATAGTGAGGAGATTGTTAAATTATTTTTATATAAAATAATAAAACAAATAAAATTATGATTTTTACTTAACAAAAAAAATAAATATTAATGTTTAAAAAAAAATGCCCAATAAGTAACAAAAAAAAAAAATCAATTGATTAGTTAACCAGTGAGTTGACCGGCCGAATATCTGGCAACTCACTAAACCGACGGAATATTTTTGTAATATCATCCCTTCGCCCGGACTATTAATCCGCCCGCCTAAGGCCCACCTTAAACTAAACACTAGCAATCCAAAGGCCACAAACAAAACAAATATAAGCTATATATACTTATTTATCCATTACAGTCCACTCCAAACTATGCTGATAGCCAAACAAACGGGGCCGAAAATCAAACTGGACTTCAATTTTTTTATCCTTAATAGAACCGAACAGACGAGGAGAATGAAGAAAACCCACAAAAATCTGCCGGTTCAGTCCAGTTCGGTTGGTGCAGATGGTTTTTCGGTTTTTTTTCCAATCCAGTTTTCATCCCTACTTAAAAATATGACAAAACCCTAAAACCTAGTCGGCTGTGGTGATGACATATTTTAAAGACGGCTCTTTTAGAACCAAAAACCCTAGCTGCGCGCATTGCATTATCTTCGTCTTCATCTTGTGAGCTGTAGAGAGAGACGACGCACGAAGCCACAATGGGGATACCTGCATTCTATCGTTGGCTGGTCGATAAATACCCACTTGCTGTCGCCGACGTCATCGAAGAAGCTCCGATCATCGTCAATGGCGTTTCAATGCCCCTAGATTCAAGTCGACCAAACCCCAATGACATTGAATTCGACAATCTTTACCTTGATATGAATGGAATCATCCATCCCTGTTTCCACCCTGAAGGCCTCGTATTGATTCTTCTACTCATGAATTTCATTCTTTTCTAGTTTTACATATAAATGTATATTTATAGTTTATTTCTTAACCGTATGTATGTATGTATGTATGTATGTATGGATTTTGTACAGCCTGCTCCGAAGACGTATGAGGAGGTATTCGAGGCAGTGTTCAAGTACATAGATCGAGTTTTCTCGATCGTTAGACCTCGAAAACTACTTTATATGGCAATTGGTGAGTGGACTAGTTTGGTAGAGGAACCATTATTGAAAGCAAAAGTTGTGTATATATATATATTTTTTTTCCCTTTCCCTTTTTCAAGAGTTTGTACTCTGTTATGTTTTATTCATTGAAATATAAGAATTATATTTGTGCTCTATTCTGCTCTGAGAGTCCATTTGGTTGCAATGAAATATTTGGATTAGAATAGAAAATGGAATTTTGAATCTTTCTATTTTGCTGAAGGCATTCAATTGAACTAAACAGATTGCTTCAATTGAGCTCAATTGAGAAGATGTTTTAGCCAAAATTTGTCAAAAAAAAAAATGTTTCAATCCTTTTTACGTGTTTTCAACAAAAATCTTCCTGAAAAGGCAATTTGAGTTTCCCATCTTTTTTGTTTTTCTCTTGTTTAATTCCCATTTGAAGTAGTTGTTCTGCAATACTTTTTATTTCGTCTTGTGTTTCCCCTTTAACTGATGGGAGTGATTTTCATTGCAACAATGTGCATTGAAGGAACTTGCTTTTGGGGTAAACCAGCTCTGAAAATTTCAGGAAAAATTCATCCTGAAGTATCACCAAAAGTTTTTTATGTTCTCCTGGTGTATAGGGCTCTACACAGAATCAAGTGGAGAAAAGTATATAGCCAAACAGAGTAGCTGGATCAAGGCTTTGTTGAGTTGGCTTTTTTTTTTCTGCTGATGGATGTTTCCAAACTTTGAGAAGTGGGCCATCTAATGTGTGCACAATTTTTTAGAAAATCTTTTCACATTTGGTCATGCATGGATCTTCAAATGTAGAGTTTTTCTGATCATTTATCATGCCTCAAATAGAGATTTTTATTGTTCATGCATTCACTTTGTACTATACTGAGACTTTGCCTTTATTCGGTTGCCAAGGAGTCAAAGATACTATGGGAGTAGATGAGACTAAAATTCTTCTTCTTTTATTTTTATTTTTTAAAAATAAGTAAAAGTGAAAAAAGAGAGTTCCCTTGACCTAAGCCATATATTGAAATACGAGCAGTTCATAAGAAGCTTTTGTTTCTTCATGCTAAACCCTAAAAATTTATGAGATTTGAGGTTTTGATGTCTTTTCCTTATTGCTATATATTGCAACAGGACAGAGCATTCAGGCTCCTGACTGATTGCAAAACTATTCTGCAACCTAGTGACCTAGTTAGGAATTGACTTTCTCTTGAACTAGAAACATGGAACATCAGCTTACTTGTAGGGCTTGGATGCCTAGAGACATCCTTGGAAATGTCTTATTTTTGGGAATATTGCATGACTTACTGCTTGTTCTGATTGTTAGTGTCATTGTCATTGTGCACAGATGGTGTTGCACCACGTGCTAAGATGAATCAACAACGAGCAAGACGTTTCAGAGCTGCTAAGGATGCAGCTGATGAAGTAAGTTTTATGGCTTCCATAACCTTAATAAATTTACGTGATAAGTAATTAAGTGATCTTCTTGATTTTTGTTAGTTTTATACTCTTGTTACTAGTACCCTCTTCCAAAAGGAAAAAAAAACTGAAATTTTGACTATTATCAGGCCTCTAGAACAGAGGGGCTGAGTGGAGTTCATGGAGCAGAAGGGGAAGACTTGGCTCTTTTGGAGCAAACTAAAAAGCTGGATTCAAATGTTATTACACCTGGAACTGAATTCATGTCATTACTGTCATCAGCTCTTCAATATTATGTACACTTGAGGATGAATATGGATCCTGGGTGGAGGGGAGTCAAGGTAAACTTGAAGTTTTGGGGTAGTTGGGTCTGTCTCCTTTTCTTTTAATTTTTTTCTCCTTGTTATCTGACTGTGAGGGTTGTGTCCTCTCAGCATGTTCTCAAATAGATTGTTTTTTTTACTTTGTTTTGTTGCTGATTAAAAAAAAAAGAAAGTAAAAATTCAAGTTTTGAGGTTCAAGGCAGAACATTCTTTCTGTTAAGATCGACAAAGAATTAGTTTCTTTTCCTGTTAAAATGATCTGAATTTGCTGGGGATCTTTCAGGTAATTCTCTCTGATGCCAATGTGCCTGGTGAGGGGGAGCATAAGATAATGTCTTACATCCGCTTACAAAGAAATCTTCCAGGATTTGATCCAAACACGAGGCATTGTTTGTATGGATTGGTATTTGCCTTATTTTTTATTTTTTTATTTCTTTTTCCGTATAAGCGAATTCAACTGCAGATTGTACTTGGTTGAGTTATCTATATTTACATTTTTTATGTTGTCATTCTAGGATGCAGATTTGATCATGCTTGCATTGGCTACCCATGAAATCCATTTCTCAATTCTAAGAGAGGTCTGTGCATGAGGCAGTTTCCTGGTCTTCTCTTTGCAATGACTATTTAAGTCAATGACAGTTTTTCTTTTAAAGCAACTGCAATCTGAATTTTTTTTTTCCTTTTTTTTTTCTTTCCATGATATAGGATGTCCGCAAAGAAAACACAAATGATAATAGTCGAAGAGATAGGAAGAAGATGAGTAGACAGAAACAAAGGGAGGAGTCGGAGCAGGGGGGTTCTGGCAAGTACATACAAGACTATTCCATGAGGCTGAAATTTCAGGTTGGTTTTTTTTTAATTTTTTATCATTACACTATACAAACACTTAATTTAATTGTTTTTTTTTGGTGCAAAAATCACAGCTGATCAAGCATGAGTATGATGAATTTGACCTAGTATTACAAAGAAACAAAAGTAGAAAGAACTTGCAACTGGTGTGGCTTAGAGACTAAATGGTATCAGAGCAACATATGAAGCAGGGTACTCCAAAAATGGTGCTGTATGAGTACCGAGCACTTACTAGGTGCGGGTACACATACCGGTACGGTAGTACGCATACCGGGTATGCTGAATACATTCTGGGTATTGCAGATACATTTGGGTACGGGCTGGGTACGGCGGGATTTTGTTTTGTTTTTTTTTTTTGTTGTGTGCAGTTGCTAGAATTTGTTGCAACTTTTATTATTCTTTTTTCAACTTCAAAAATAATTAGGTAATTTGTTTCCAACACCCTTTACCCATGAGTCATGGCTTTGCTTTACTTTGTATCCTCTTTTAGACTATCAAAAAAGTAAAAGAAAGAATTATATTATTTTTTTGACAAGCTGTTCTTTTAGTTTTGATAATATAACTTTGATTTGTATGTTGGATGTTTAGCTATAAATTTAAAATTAAAAAAAAAAAATGGCGTATCCCAGCCTTATCCATACCCTATTTTTTAAAGAATTTGCCGTATCGATGTACCCTGTATCGCACCCGCACCCATGCTTCCTAGAGAGCAACATTAGAGCCTTGTTGAATGTTATGATACTTCTTCTACATAATATCAGTTCTGTTAAGTTTTCTTATTTTGTATAATAAAGTGATGAGTTAGATAAATCTATGAACTAGATTCTCTTGCAGATACATTATTTTTCTATGGTTTATTTTTGGGCCTCGTTTGGAAACTTGTCTATTTTGGTTTGCTTTTTGCTATTTGGCTATTTTAGCTTGGCTAAAAAAGTTGTGTTTGGGATGATAGTTGGTTTTTTTTGGTAGTGATTTGATAATTGTAAGAGAAAAAGTGAAATAATTATGGTTTGGATGTGACATTTTGTTTTATTAGCTATTTTAGCCTATTTTGTCTTTATTGGCTATTTTAGCCAAAAAGGCCATATCCCAAACAGGGCCTTTGCGTTGGGATCTTTATTTTTGTTTGGCCATTTTGTAAAAGAATTATTTATTATTATTATTATTTATTTTTTTTGTAGATTCGAAGGTTAAGATACATTATTTTAGTGTGTGTGTGTGTATATATATATTGGCATTAATTTTATTTATTTAATTTTGCAACGTTTTTTAAACTGAAGGAGAATGTTACAAAAATGTTAATTTTTTTTTTAAAACATTCTCCATATTGTATGTCATGAATAGTATGTGAAGAATAATGTGTAAATGCTACTTGGTCATTTTTGTGTTGGCAATTCTCATTGTCTACCATGGAAATGCAAAAACTTATGCATTGCATTTACATCATATAGAGTTTTTTTATGTTGATTGTGTTTGGGTTGGGTTTATTTTTAGTGGACGACCTTACTTTAGTATTGGATTGTGGATTAGATTGGGCTTGCCTTATAGGACCCTTGGACTTAGTTATTTGGACCATGTACATATGTGTGGTGTACTTATCAACACATGAGAAATCACTTTCGCTTTTGAATGAACGAATGTACCGTCATACAAAAATGTTGTTTTAAGTGACGTTTATTTATTTATTTATTTTCCAAAGCGATGATTGTTCGAATACTCAAGGTGTTCATTCCAATGCTAAGCTTACTGGAATTGATTTCCTCTTACTAACGAAACCATTATTGTTTTCGTTCCAATTTTGAACAATGATTCTTCGGTTTATTAACACATGGAGCTTTGTTTTGCAACCAAAGCTTATCCATTCAAACACAAAGGTAATCATGTAAACACTTGATATATGCATAATATTATGCGTTAGGAACTGATTTCTTTGAAAATGTAACTTCTTAGTGTCTTAGGATTTTCGATTACTATATATTAAGACTTATACATCGTTGCTTGGGTTACACTCCTGCTTATTTTATTTTTCATAGGCTTAAGAGAAGGGTTTGCAAAGATTGAGTTGATCTTCTAAATCGTTTGAGTGAGGGAGTGTAATTGTTTCCTTTGTTTGCTCTGCATTCATATATATATATATATATTTAGGTTGTACAATCATTTCTAGGGGTAGCACATAGAAGACTCTGTGGATCTAGAAGGTTGAATGCTTGATTATGATTGCGTGGTAGCATGTAGATTGATTGTGTTCTTGGAGCATTGTGTATGTGTGGTTGACATGGCTAGTAAAGACATGTGTGCTTGAAGGTACAAATATTGGAGATTAGTTGGTATGGATAGCATCTAGGTAATTGTTTCCTTTGTTTGCTCTGCATTCATATATATATATATATATTTAGGTTGTACAATCATTTCTAGGGGTAGCACATAGAAGACTCTGTGGATCTAGAAGGTTGAATGCTTGATTATGATTGTGTGGTAGCATGTAGATTGATTGTGTTCTTGGAGCATTGTGTATGTGTGGTTGACATGGCTAGTAAAGACGTGTGCTTGAAGGTACAAGTATTGGAGATTAGTTGGTATGGATAGCATCTAGGTATTGTGTAGGTAAGATCTGTGCATCTAGATCTTGATAAGTTGTACTTACATTCTTTTACTAGTGGAGGTTTTTTCCTTGATAAAAAAAGGGAAGTGAAGAAAGAGGGGGCAACAAACTGTAACAATCCTACATAGGCGACCAAAGGAGCCCTTTACTTGCTAGAGAGCCAAAAAGGAGGGGCTTAGATGGGCCTAGAAAATTGAGGTTACAACATATGGGGGAACCGCAAACACACTCCCTCAAGATGAGTGTAACTCATGGCTTGATCCTAGCTCTATATACCAAGGTCCTTCCTAGCGAGTAGAGGTGGATGGGAACCATGGTGCCCCATGGGGACGGAGCCATTTAATGCCTAAGAGAGGCACATGCCCCTCAACTTATTGAAAATTACACTTAAAAGGTTTTAATTTTAAAAATATCTTTCAATTTTCCCCCTCTAAAATTATATATATCCTTTAAATTTGTTAAAATTTTAGCCTATTTCTTTTATCTTTTTCAACAAATCCTTACAATTTATCTATTTAATTTTTTGTTGTATGCTTAAATAAAATATGGTCAATTGTAGGAAAATGGTATTAACACAAAATGATCGCAATATAATGGAAGTACAAGCAATTTATGCATTAAATTGCACCAGTCTATCTTGTACTTTCATCATTTTGCAATTATTTTGAGTTGATACTATTTTTCTGCAATTATCCCTATAAAATATGACTTTTATGTTATTAATAAGATCATTTGTGATGTTAAAATTATTGAGATTTTGTTAAACAATGGATTAGTTGTTTGAATTATTAAGTTAAAATTGTGCCCCATTGTTCTTTCAATGAACTTGAGACACCATTGACTTGAACACAAATATATATTGATTCTTTATTTGCTTCATGAGGAAATCTAAGAAAACATCTTGTTTATTATATTTATGTTATTTGTAATTTGTATTTTTATTTTCGTACTCTTGTTGGCTGATAGTTTGTATAATATTACCCTATTTTTTATGAAACTGAACCAAACTATATCAATATGACCCAATACCAATATTTTGTCGTAATATCCCGCCTAAGCAAAAATTCTTGCTCTGTCACTAGTTGCTCTCATGGAGACTAGAACCCAAAGCCAATTGCTCACCAAATCCAAAAGAAGTGAGCTCCCACCCAATGAAGTAACACTTCAAAATAAGTGGTGTAGCTATGTTGGATACGTATGAGACACCGACATTTGGGGACGTCTGTTATTAGAATCTTTACATTTTATGATTCAATTCACGATTTGATTCACAACTTATCAGTAATGGATATGAATCTATACGTGAATCACATGATTCACGATTTTATGATGGAATTCTTAAAACTATTGTGTCCAATGTATTTTTACTTATTTTTAAATGAAAACAACACAAAACTATTTCTAAGTGTTTGGTACAAAAATATCTAATATTTATACTTGATTTGTTTTTATTTTGGTGATCTAAGAGTTTTTAATTGGATCCAATTAGATCCAACACATACTTTGTCTTTTTCTCATTTTTTTTCCCTCCAAAAAATGTCATATTACTTATTCTAAATATTTTGTGACTTACACACATAAATTATCCATTGCCATTTTAGTGAAATAAATATGGTTCAATATTACATTGGTCAAGTCAGTCAGACCTAATGATTTGACAATTTTTTTAAAAACTCTTTAAAAGTGTTATGGGTTTCAAAATAAAAGGTTTTACTTAAATTCTTTCATATTATACTCTATATAAGGTTCCTAGGTCCATTTTTTTGAACATGAAGAGATATTATATTATGGTTGTTGAATAATTATATTTGGTAGGATTTGGGCTCACATCTCTTGATTTGAAGACACAGTCTTCCCCATTAGATAGTATAACCATGTCCGTGTATAAGAATCACTTTATAACATATGCCAAAATCAATTTATTTCATTCTTTTTCATATATATGATGTGTAACATTGTTTTTTATAGTTTGTATGGAATCTTAACGATTCACAAAATTAGGACTTTGATTCATGATACGATTCTTGATTTGATAACTATGGCAATGACATGTATGAGGCACAACATGTGGTATGTTTGTTTAATAAATTTTCTTTTTTTCCAAGGGACACAATGGGAGACATGCAGGGACATGCTTTTGACATGATGGGGTCTTATTTTAATTTTTCAAAGATAATTTCGAAGGTCGTATTATAATATTTAAAAACATGAGGGTTGAATTTAAAAATATAGGACCATATCAAACCATCTACAAAGCAACACATATGTAACCACAATTGTGAAGTTGAGACTGACTTTTTTTTAACTATCCCTGGTGCCTGACGCAACACATATCCAGCCCCTGACATATTTAAATCGGTTTGTTTTTTTATGTTAAATTAGTGTTAGCTTTCAATATTTTTTATTGTTTATGGATATAATATTTATATAAATAGCAAATAAATTTGTTTTTGGTTGTATCCCCGCAGTGTCCATATTTGTCTCATTTTTGAAATATATTTGTCTGTGTTTGTATTTGTGTCCATGCTTCCTAACTACCACCCTCAATTTCATCTATGGTTTTTTTCCCCGAGTTTGGAGTTTTTCCTTGTAAAATGTGGTTTCTCTTTGGTGTGGTTGATATTATTCTTGTGGTTATTTACCATTCAAAAAATCTGTCTAATCACTTGAATTAAAATAAAAAAATTCATGTCAGTTTTTAACTGAAAAAATATCTGACTTTAACCTGAAAAACATGGTTGAAAAATTTTCAAACCTTTTTTTTGCCAAGTACATGTATTTGTTATGAACTATTTGCTAGTCTTTTTTTTTTTTTTAAGAAAAATATTTTAAGGAGGGGGAGGGTTGTCATTTATAAGTAAGAAGTGAAGTAAATATATTTGAATTTTTTTTTCATTAAAGTGATGTTAGAATCTTCCATTGAACCCATCTCATTGTTCGTTTCTCTTAGTGGTGTTTTATAATATTTTAATCGTTTATTGGTAAAAATATAATGACAGAATGGTAATGATACATTGAACTGCTTTGAATAAATTTTCTTCTTTTTTGCTTTATTTTGGTATTAATTTGTGTATATCAGTGTATTTATGCATGCCTTCATGTGCTACTCTGTTGAAACCCATCTCATCGTTCATTTCTGCTAGTTTTTTCTAAGTTGTTCCCATAAAATTGTGTTGTACAAATATAATTATGGATTCCTGCTATTTAAGATGGTAATGGTACCTCTTTTTCAGTGTCCTATAATTAAATTTTTTTACTGTGTTGCTCTGTTTCAGTTTCTACATGTATGGATACTCAGAGACTATCTAGTCCATGACTTAAGAATACCAGATCCAACAGCAAAGGCAGACTTGGAACGTTTAATTGATGATTTTGTCTTCATGTGCTTGTTTGTTGGAAATGACTTTCTACCTCATGTGCCATCATTGGAGATATCTGAGGTGGGCATTCTTGAGAATCTTAATGCATTTGCGTTAATTCAATTTATCTATTCTAAAAGTAAATTGTGGTACTTTTCACTTGTTTTCAATGTATCAAGTTTGATTTACTACACTTCATTTGTACTCATCATTTTGTATTTTTATTTGGTAGTTTGTGCTAAATGTTTCCCATATGATCCATTTTTTATAGGGGGCTATTGATCTACTAATGGTTGTCTACAAGAAGGAATTTATTCAAATGGGTGGCTATCTGACTAATTCTGTTGAGGTATTTAACTAGATTTTGTGGCAATTTCATTCTTCTCGATCTTATGACAATGGCATACATGTTTGAATTGGCATGCACACAAACTTTGTTCTTGCTTTTCTTCTAGCACATGCTGTCTAATTTGTTTGTCTTGTTTTTATGAATTATTTCCCCTATTTTCCTTGTGTTTTGCTTTTGAACTTAAAATTATTGGTGAAATAATTTTTTAACATTTTGAAAATTTGGTTGTTTGACTAATCACTTATATAGCAGAACAAGATTTTCAATTAAAGTCTTCTCACATGACCTTTCATTAGTTAAATACCTTAACGGACATTAAATCAGGAAGTTGACTGGAGATTCTTCCGTCACTTTGTGTTTAATCAGCTAGTCTAGTCTGTTTCATCCCACTAATGAAGATTGACTGGTTTATTTTTTTTCTTATTTAGCTTGTCTCCTCACAGAAATTTTGCTCAGGAATCTGTAATATTGTCAATATCCTTGAGTGCCCTTTTTCACATTAATTTACTCTCATCTTGATTTGCCTTTTGCCTTGAAGTTGGAACTCCTCACATGATTAAAGTAGCGTTTACTTTTGAAGTAAAAACTTAAATTTCTGAACCATATGGTCAAAAAAGATACAGTCAGGTCTTTCTCAGTTACTGGCTGCAGGATGAACAAAGTTACTTGAATTTGGATCAAGATTGGATTACTTAGATGTTTGAGGTCTCATGTGTGATAAAGTTGCTGAGCTCAGTCTGTCTTTGAAGTTTGTAAAGCTTTCAATTTTCTGAGCTTCATCACCCGAATAGTGCAAAGTCAACCAAGGTACTCAAGATTGGATCAAGATTGGTTCAATTATAAGCTAATTCAAGATTGTTCAGGATATTATGGTCACTATATCCTGGAAAAAAGAGATTCTTAACTTTTCAAGCCTAGCTCAAGCAGCCTAAATACTTTTGATTTAGAGACTTAAAAAGGTTAATATCAAGCAGGATGTTCAGATTCATAACCTAGAGCATCTTGATCATACGATTGAGCAAAGAAATACTTAATCATTCTCATATTATGGTATTTTGAAGCAATACAACTATTATCTGACTTTGGGCCTACCCATTGGCTATGCATTTTGAACTAATACAATAGCTTCATTTTTCATTCCAGTATTTCATCGCTATCTTCTAATCAATTTCCATAATAAAATATCATAGACCGTTAATGTCAGTTATGAACTCCTTATAGTGGTCTATAATATTGTCTCCCAATTGGTGTTTCATGTGTTAAGGATACAACAAGGCTGTCACCTTGTCCTTCATTGCAAGGTACAAAAGAATTAGTGTACCTCTTCTTTGGGCTTCGTTTGGGAACTTGGCTATTTTAATTGGCTTTTTGGCTATTTTATGAGATGAAAAAAAGTTGTGTTTGGGATGATTTGTGATTTTTTTTGTAGTTGAATAGGAGGTTGTGAGAGAAAAAGTGATTGATTGATGTGTAGGATGTGACATTTTGTCTTACTGGCTATTTTAGTCTTTTTTGTCTTTATTGGCTATTTTAGCCAAAGTTCTTGTTCACAAACAGGGCCTTGATTTCTTTGGCTGGGAACTCTACATGGAGTAAGTATGAGATTTTTTTGATTGGCAACAAAAGAAATATTATTAGGAAAGAAAAGTACAAGAGAAATGGGAAACAAAGATTATCACTTATCTTGTCCGATAAAGACTTGCATGAGAAGAGGCCCCAGAAATGAAGTGATCGTATCCTTGACTCACTAACATTATGTCTCAAAGAGAGGTTATCAAGAACGGTTAACAAGGAAAATAATCAACTGCTTTATGATCATTCAGATTTCTAAAAACAGTTAAAGTTCTATAAAAGAAAGGTGCTGAATGGGACAAAGCCATGAAAGTAATGAAGACATTACGAGAATGATCCAAATGTTACAAATTTTAGAACATAACATAAGAACAAGACTAGCCTGCCTGAACATCTTCTCAAAACTGAATTCTTTCCCATTACCCATTTTCAAGGACAATAATCAGGAAAAGAGAGGAAGGATACGAGAGAATCATTTCCATGGAGACCGGCAATTCCCTCTATTAACCACAAGAGAATCCCTACAACTAGCTTGAACTCCATATTTACTCTTAATAATGGAATGCCATAAGGAGTCACAGTCAATGGGAAATCTCCATAACCATTTTCTTAGCAGAGCATTATTCCTTGCCATAATGTTGCCTATTGTAAGACTTCCTTTATCTTTGGGTAGAGACACCACCTCCTAATTCACCACATGATTCTTTCTCTCTTCGCCGATGACTTCCCACAAGAAATCCTTCATCATTTTCTTGATTTTATTTTCTCAAAATTGCAATCCTATGTTCGATTATTGTAAAGGTTATATAGGGTTGGATCGAGGGTCTTCTTTGACATTATTTATTAGATTTTCTTATTTGATGGAATATATGAAAATAGGAATGGAGTCCATGAGTTTGTTTTTTTATTTTATTTTTTATTTGTGAATCTTGAGAACTTTCGGCAGCATACATTTACTTCTCAACTTATGTTCTCTCTTTTTTTGTTCAATTTGTAGGTAAATTTGGAACGCGTGGAGCACTTTGTACAAGCTGTTGGTTGTCATGAGGATGCAATTTTCAGGAAACGTAGCCAGGTTTCAAATGCAAATTTATGCATATTATTTTGCTTAAATCTCTAATTGAAATTTGTTAGTTGATTGGTTTCCATTTTGATTGTGGCAATCCTATGCACTTCATCCTTTTCTACACTTGTTTTTGTTAAGCAAAAGATGATCTTGCAGATGAACTTGTTAACTTAAAAATCCAAAACATGAGGGTAGAATATATCTTCTAATGCGGATTCCCCTTTTTTCAAACAAAATAGAAATTGAGGAAAAGATGGTGAAGGGACCCACTTCAAGGGGATAGACATCTAATTGATTCCCCTTGAGGATAACTGGACCTCAAAAACTTCAAGAAGTTGGTAAAAACTATCAATTACCTCTCTATTGTAATACGTTGTTAAATACAAGATTAATGTGTTGCAGATAGGAAAACAAGATGGGTGTATAATTAATTGACTCAAACCATGATCCTATAAAGTAGATATCTACCTTAGAAACCAACTTAAATTACAACATCCATGACTCCTACTACTCAATAATTCATAAATTACAACTTACTAAATATAGAATGAAAGCAGAGGAGAAGTGATGATTGAGAATCAAGAACTACTTCAGATTGAACATTTCGTTATTTATGATCGATTGTCACAACGTTTGAAGAGTTTGGAGCGGATGTGGTCCACAGAATTAAGGCGGGGTGGCTTAAGTGGAGGAGCGCGTCTGGAGTACTGTGCGATAAAGGAGCATCCATTAGACTAAAAGGGAAGTTTTTTAGAACGGCTATTAGATTAGCGATGTTGTATGGGACGGAATGTTGTGCAACTAAGAAACAACATGTCAATAAAATGAGTGTTGCTGAGATGAGTGTGGCAAGATTAGAAAAGACAGAGTTATAAATGAGTATAATCGAAAGTGGGTAGGAGTAGTACCGATAGAAAAGATAAGTTGAGAGAGAATAGATTGAGATGGTTTGGTCATATGCAACGGAGACTAACAGAGGTAGCAGTGAAGAGATGCAATAGAGTGACGGTAGATGGTAGTGTCAGGAGAAGGGGTAGACCTAGATTGGCGTGGATTAGTGTAATAAATAGAGATATGAATCTTCTTAATTTGGCTAACGAAATGGTCTTGGATAGAGTCGAGTGGAAAAGAAGGATTCATGCAGTCGACCCGATTTGATGGGACTTGAGGCTTGGTTTGGTAAATATAGAATAAAATTTTATGAAAATGTAGAACGTTTCATTGCAACCTCCTCAAGATCAAGCTTGAGGGCAAGACATATCTCTGTAAGTAGAAAATCATTGTGATTTTGTTCTTTAAAAGACTTCAAACCAATGGAGTTGGTAAAGCACACTTTTATTTCATCTTACTCCAAGAAAAGAATTTTGAAAAGAAAAATTGTAGTCTTCATTAATACTCACATGTCATTGGAGAACAACATCAACATCGTGAGAATTACTTTTCTTCTTTCATCTTACTATTTGTTTCCATTACATTCAACAAAGGTGCCTTGGTCTCTTGTAAATCTTTTTGCATGGACTCTAGGATGTCAAGTGGTGTAGCCATCAGCAAGGAACAAAAGCTCTAATGTCAATTGATGCGTATCCTTTCTTCAATCAAAATAAAAATAGAAGAGAAGATGGTAGAGAGACCCAGTTCGAAGTGGGTAGACCTATGATGCCATGACGACGACTACTGCTACTATTAAATACCTCCTTAAAACTAACTAAACTAGGCTAATAATTTTTTTATTGAATTAAATATAAAACATATCATCTTCAAATTGAAATGTTTCTCTACAATCAAATGGGTTCTCCACTCATTCCCTCTTACGTAGTTGGAGAGACTTTTTTTTTTTCCTTTTTTCTTTTTTGTGATAAGTAATGACCTCAAATGCATAGTTTCCAAAAAATAAGGGGCACAATTCAAATGAAGACAAAAATCTCTACTTCTACAAATATTCTATAGATCTACAGGGATGTACAAATCCGCCAAAAGATCAACAAAAGAGATTAAAGAAAAAGTTTCCTTAGCCAAAAATACATGGAAATAAGCACTGTTCTGTTCAAGCACCGAATCAAAGTCTCAACACCTTCAAAAGATCTCTTATTTCCAAGTCAGGCCTTGACTGTGTTGGGCCCTAAGCGAACTCCTAAGGTGGATCCCTCTATATATGTGAACAAAGAAAAAAGAGTTTGTGGGTCTAATATTAAGTACCCACAAGTTGTTGACCCACTAATTTTTTTATTTGCTAGTACCCACACAAAGCTTATTCTTAAAAATTTAGTTTTTAGAAAGTGACATATAGCATATATGCATAATATGGAAGTTCTATGAATTGTTTTATCGTAAAATGAATTAATAAAAATGCTTATTGGGTGCATAATGAACTAGACCTGTCAGAAAAATATCCTATATCCTTACACACAAGTGTTGAGTTTGTGACACGGGTATTTAACACATTTAACAGAGCCCATCTGACAAAGAACACAACATAGTGGACTGCCACAATAATCAGGCAGTTGTAATTATCATTGTTAGTGCCCATAGACTGAGGTGTAACGTACTTAGTAGCTTTATTTCTTGGCTTGGCAACTAGAATGTCATTTAGTGATGTTCTCTATGCAGGTGCAAAAAGAAAGGGAGATTTGGTTTCGACGTTCTTCAAGACCTGTGAGCATCTTTTATTCTACTTTTCAAGTTCTGATTTCTGTTTCTTTGATAGAAAATGACTTTTATCTATTGAAATTCTGTCCTGTGATTGCCATCGAATCAGTCCAGCAGTTGTTATATTATCATTGTTAGTGCCCATAGAATAAGGTCTAATTTACACAATATCTTTATTTCCTGGCTTGGCTAAGAGAATATCATTTACTGCTGTTCGTTATTCAGGTGCTCGAAGAAACGAAGACTTGGTCTCAACATGGACGTTCTAGTCGTGTGAGCATCTTCTATTCAAATTTTGAAGTCCTGATTTCTGATTTTTGATGGAAAATGACTTTGATCTATTGAAATTCTTTGTCCTATAATTGCTATTGAATCAGTCCTGTGTTAAGAAGATGCAAAGCTCAGTAAACTGGGCAACTGATGATGCAAATCCTGTAATCGACCAGGTTGCTTAAAGTTCCTCTTCTTTTTGTTAAAATTTTTATTGGGTTATTTACTCTTACTATGACAATTAATTCTTTTGCCTTGTTTGCGTGGCAAAATGGAAAATAAGAAATGTATATCTCATCACCAGGAATCCCATTACAAGTATTGAGATTTCTATCATTGATGCTATTCTAGCATTTTGACTAGTTAAGAATTGAATATGGAAAAGTGAAGGCAATGTGAATATTGTGGGCCTACCTTTTTTTTATGCTTAAGTTTGGCAATAGGCTATTTTAGCCAAAAAGCCACTACCAAAAAGTCTACTCTTCTCTTTACTTTTCTGCACATCTTTTCGTACAAAGCTAAAAAGCCTATTAAAATAGCTGGTTCCCAAAACAACAGTTAGTCTAAAAATTTGAGATTCCTATTTAGTTTGGTAAACTTATTCTTCTTTGGGTACTTAACCCTGAATCACTTCCATGTCTTGAATACACCCATGATGCAAACCCTAGAATCAGGTTTTGATTCTGCTTCCCATTCCTGTCATCCAGACATAGCTTCTGCATTCCTGTAAGTCCTCTCTCTTGCTTTGTCAGGTTAAACTAGGAGAAGAGGGATGGAAGGAGAGATTCTATGCTGAAAAGTTTGAGGCTAAAACAGATGATGATCGTGAGAAAATTCGTAGACATTCGGTAAGGAATTTTAAATGCTCGCTGTATGATTTTGAAATTGCAGTTTCCTATTACATGTTTTTCTCTTTCTTGATGTATCATTTGATTGAACTAGAAAAGTTGCTCATGGCCCTTGCTTGAACATGAAAGCCTTGTGTTTTCTGTTTTATAATTAATATTTTAGGTGGATGTTTTTAGGTTTCATTTCACTTGTACTAATTAAATTTTTGTTTATTTTTTTACTTTGTAAATTTTCCTGATATTTTTCTTTTTCTTTTTTCACTCTTCTGCTGGGTCTTGAATATGTGATTGCCCACTTCTGTTGAATTAATTCCTTGCAGTCTTGTTTTTTTTATTATATTTTCTCCTTGTGTTTCCTTTGTGAACTTATGTTACATGTTATGTAGGTCCTGAAATACATAGAAGGGATTTGTTGGGTCATGCATTATTACTACGAAGGAGTATGCTCTTGGCAATGGTATGTGCTGCATTCTCATCCTTCTTGGTTAAGATTCTGCTACTGTGCTCTGGAACCTGGATAACTGAGAGTAGAAAAGATTATTATTATTTTTAAATAAAACATATTATAGATGATTGGCAACTCGAACTTTGCAATATTGCCTGACATTTGTGGAGTGTGATTGGGATTTTGAATGATGTGGAATTAGGAAGAAATCTTTCTCTTCACCAGTGATGCTGGTTTTTTTTTTTCAACGAAAATTTTGTCACACAATTCTTATAATCATTCGCTCATACTTCTTGGCAAGAAAGAGCACATACATGCTCTTTCACTCATATGTGATTGCTCAAAGGGTGGTTCAATTGGATGACACAAGGATCTAAAAAAAAGCAATTGGTGAAAGTCCATTCTTTTGGGCAAGGAAATATTTTTTTCACCCCTTCATTTATATACACAACAAACTTGTAGTGAGCCAACAGTGTGTCATGATGTAGGATGGAGACTTATGTAGGCTGTGCCACATTCAGATTTGGTGGATTAGGGATTTAAAAGATAGTCTAAGGCCTGTTTGGTAACGTTTACGTTTTTAGTTTATATTTACAAAAATTTTATAAGCTGGTTTTTGTTTATTTTTAGAAAAACATAAGCTACAAACCCGTTTGGTTTAGACAAAATGTTTAAAAAAATTTAAAAATATAAAAAAGAGTGGCAAATGGCAAGTGGTGGCGGGTGGTGATGAGTGGCGGCGGCGGAAGACGGTGGTGAAAAATGATGGCGGGTGGTGGTGGAAAATGGTGGCAAGTAGTGGGTGATGATGGCAGAAGATGGTGGTGGAGAGTGGTGGCAAGTGGCGGGTGGGTGGGTGGTGGCGGCGGCAGAAGACAGTGGTGGAAAGTGGCGGGTGGTGGCGGCGGAAGACGGTGGTGGAAAGCGGTGACGGGTGGGTGGATGGTGGTGGCAGGTAGGTGGTGGATGGCGGGTGGTGGCGGTGGGTGATGGTGGATGGGTGGGTGGGTGACGGTGGCGGGTGGTGGTGGCAGGTAGGTGGCAGATGGTGGTGGGTGGTGGCGGGTAGGTGACGGATCGTGGTGGTGGTGGTGGGGTGGTAGCTGGTGGGTGGGTGGTGGTGGTGGCAAGTGGGTGGTGAGTGGTGGTGGTGGCAAGTGGCGGTGGTGGGGGATAGGAGGTGGCGGCAGAAGACGGTGGTGGAAAATGGTGGCTAGTGTTGGGTGGTAAAAAAAAAAAAAAATCCTCAAAACTCAAAACAGAAACACATTTTTTGAGTTTACAATTTTTGGCCAAATTTATAAACTGAGACCACTGATTTATAAATTAAAAATTTGCCAAACAAGTTTTTATTTGAGTTTTTAAAATTTTTGTAAATATAAACTGAAAACGTAAGTGTTACCAAACGGCACCCTAATGATTGGAAAGTTAAGATTAGAGTTTAAGGATGCTATATAGGACCAAATGCCAAGAGTTTGAGGCTGTTTTAGGTTTGAAATTATAGGGAATTGCTTACTGATGCAGGACAATTAGGGACTGCAGCAAATCTAAGGCTTTTGAGCTGATTTTAATTAGATTTTATGGCTGCAATTGCAAGAAGAATATAGGGGACAAGTAGGGTTTGTTTAGGGTAATAAATAGGTAAGAGTTTAAGCATGAAAGGATGGGATTTTAGCACTGTTTAGGGGCTGTTACAAGGCTGTGAACAGTAACTAAAACAAAAAAGAAGAAGAAAGAAGAGAAGAAGATAGGTCTAGGTATCACACTTAAAATCCATAGGCATCACACCCAAGGTCAAAGTTGCATCACACAATCCATAAGAAGCTTCAATAACTCTGAAAAATTATCTAAAATATAAGCTCTATTAAATTATACGCATTACATGGCTTTATATAGAACTAGGGGACTTCTTAAACCAACTACAACCAAAAAATGAAACTATTATAATATCTTTTGACTTCTAAAACTAATCTAAGACTAAATAAGAAACAAAACAAAGACGAATTAAATAACTTAACCCATAAGACAGCCCATGGGTGACCCACACAACCCATATTCAGAATTTTTGCAAATTACAAAAATACCCCTAAGCTTAAAATCCTAGAAAACATACATATAATTATAAAATAACTCTCTAATAATATTAGAAAAATATTATAGAAGATTCTATCAATTTCTCTATGAAATCATGCCAATGTCCAAATATCATCGTTGCTTTAAATTTAGTCTTCCTTGAGCTTCTTATACTCAGCAGTTACTGGATTTTTTGGACAATTCAGAATTGATGGTTATAGCCCTATAGGGCTTGAATGGTGTGGTAAGTTAGGGTTAGGGTTGAAGATCAAAAGTTGAGGATATAGGTATTTAGTTAGGGTGAAACCAGGCTATTTCGTGGATGTGAGTTATGCACAGCAGTGCTGTAACTAAAAAACCTATGAAGCACAAATGCTTCAAAAAGGGAGACGTATCGGTATCGGATACTTATCAGATACCCATACTCCTTGGATACTCGCGGATACGTATCGGATACTTCTTAAAAGTATCAGATACTTAATTAATTTTTTATTAATTTTGGAGTATCGGATACTTAATTTTGAAATATTGGATACGTGTAGTCACATATTACTTCTAATACTTTGTTTAGTTCTTTGATAAGAGGAATATAGTGAGATAAGTAATAGAATTTGTCAAATTGATGTATTCTTATTGTCTCTCTCACTTCTCTCGCGCTCTCACTCTCTCATGTTTCTTCTCTCTGCGGTCGTTCTTTTTTTGGTGTTGGCATGTAAGGATGATGTTTAATTTGCATTTGATCTACCTTCTAGTTTTGGATGTTTTATGAATGTTTGAAGACTTCTCTTTATTTATTAATTTGCTTTAGGTTTTATTTTCATGCGAATACATTATTAAAATTATAATTTATTTATTTATTTTTTTACGAATGTATCCCCACCGTACCCGTATCCTACTTTTTCAGATTTTGGCATGTCGCTGTATCCATATTCCTGTATCCGGTGTCCGTATCCGTGCTTCCTAGTAAAACTATAAGGGTGTTCTAGGAATCTTCCCTATAAACAATGAGTCTCACCATTGAAAGAGCAAAAATTGGCAGAATTGATTGTCTCTGCAAGCTTGCTTTTACAGAAGTATGGGACTTCTACTAGACAAAGGATTTTATTAACTCTTCGAAGGAAAAAAACCAAGAATTGAACATATTTCCAATTAAGAAATGACTAGGTGAATTTTCTCTACAAACACTAACATGATCTGTGCACTAAAAATGTCAAAATTACCAAATAACCCTGATCTGGATAGTTACCAAAATGCCTCTCGTTTGATTATGAAAGACCTATGTTCTCATAATGGAAAGGTGTTAGAACCATTTAGGCTGGCTCCAAACCCGGCAGAGAATACTTTCCAGCCATGTGACACCAATAGTGCATAGATCCATTGATGGGGTCCACGTGAGTGTTCCTTTTTTCCCGCCTTTTCCAAGCATGTACTTTACTTGGGCAATACCCTTCACGTGAATTCCCCTTTCACTCACAAGTGGAATGCAATAAACAGAAAGTGGGTTCAAGTTGTGCTGCCTGCATATAATTATGTAGAAACCCATATGTTGGAACCATCTTTCATCATTTTGTCTTGAGGAAATTAACTCTGGCGTTTTAGGGGGGGCACAAAGTTTTTATGGGTTTGTTATGCACAATATCCGTAGGAACTGTTTTTTGACGGATTTGTTTATATGTTAAATCATTAATGTAAAACTACAGTGGTTCTTTATGTCATTCTTACACAATCCTAATACTGCAGGTTCTATCCTTACCATTACGCCCCATTTGCTTCAGATTTTTATGGTCTTGATCAGTTGGAAATTTACTTCACCCTTGGGAAGCCCTTTAAGCCATTTGATCAGTTAATGGGTGTATTGCCTGCTGCGAGGTTTCTTATTGAATTTGTCTGCTTCTTTGGCTTGTTTAATTAAATCTTACTGGGAACTGACCCATAGGTTCCATTTAGTGCACATGCACTTCCTTTCTTTTACAGGAAATTGATGACAGATTCATCATCACCTATTTTGGACTTCTATCCTGATGGTAGGGTTCTTTCTGAGAAAATTGTTGTTCTGTTAGACAATTTTAACTAATTATTTTTTCTTTTGTGGTATGTAATCCTGAAATTTGCTCGCAGATTTTGAGTTGGACATGGATGGAAAACGTTTTGCTTGGCAGGTATTGATTAAGTTTGAGCTTCTGTATTTGTGTTTTGGATACGTTAGCTATTTCAAAACTGCAATTATTTAGTTTTGTGGATGCTGTATAATGCTTTGGATTGATATTTTTTGTTGCATGCAAATCAATCATGCTTTTTTGGGTAAATTTTTTATTCCAACTTTTACCCCCACTTACTTCAGCCTGTTTGATGCTCTTAAGATTTTCATTGCAATATTTGTAGGCATCCTTTTGATTCTGCCTTTTGTCTTAGCTGCATATCACCAAAGGCTTGTCCTATCAGTTTTTGATTTATTTGCATTTGCTATTATCTATGCCTTTAAGAAATATATAATTGCCTTAATTGATGCATTGTCTTGCCTTTACTCTTCTTTTGTACAGACCTTTAAAATGTCAGTGCTCTCTTTTTTGCTATGATAGGACTAGAACCAGTGGTTCTATTCTGCATAAAGTTAAATCATTTTTACTAATCTTGTTAATATATTCACCTTACATAGTAATGCCTAGAGTATGCTATTGCACTAAGTTAATTATTTTTCTTTTTATCGTCTCGTACATAACTAATCCAATCAAGAGGTGCCATTGTCGCCTATGCTCCTTTTGTTGCATGATGTCATAATATAAATGTTTTAATGCAAAACCACAAAAGGAAAAGGCTTACCTCCTTCAATTTGATGTTCAAGCTTTTTGATATTTGTTTTTATGTTAAAAAAATATTGGTAACTGAATGAAATTAACTAAAAACAATACAAACTTTGTTTTGACACTTGAGGACATATTAGCATTGTGAAAATTTTAATTTCTAAAGTCATCACGTGTATGATTTGAGCATTTCGTCCACTAAAATATTAAAAAAATTGGTAATCAGTGGATAAGGCTCACACTTATAATATGGTCTGTGCAAGGTAGTAGGTAGGTGGCATTCCTCTGCCTTTTTAGTGGAGAGGCTGATTCTTATGGCTCAAACCCTCGCCACTTGGTTGGGGGTGGATAACCTTTGACGTCACACTGGGTCATGGCCTCTACCTCCACTAAATCTATTATCAATAAATTCCTTGATTCAATGTTTGTTATATTCTAGTCAACGAAATAAGTTAAATTGTCATTCTCATCGAGATAATTGAGATTGATAAGAGCTTGTCGCCTACAACTAGTAAGAAGTATTTGGGTGTTTGGTTTGTGTTTTGAGATAAATTTTCAAAAAAAATTTGGGGAGGTTAGAATTTTTTTTTTAGTTTGTTTGGTTGTATATTTTGAAAATAGTTTTGGAGTTTGGGATGATTTGATATTTTGTTTTAGTTGAGTAGATGTGTGTGGGAGAAAAAGTGATTGAGAATGAGAGAGAAGAGAGAAAAAGTGATTGATTGATGTGTAGGAGAGCGAAAGTGGTTTTGAAATTTTTTTTTTTAAATTTGAACCAAAGAAAATTTTGAAAATTTTTCTCAAAAATTGTATCTTGAGATACAAACCGAACAAGCCCTTTATTTTACTAATAAAAAACTAGTAAGAAGTGTAACAAAGTTTCTTTTTAATGCCAAAACTATATGAATCAACAGAATTCACTGACACCATTGTGCAAGTATAACTAGGTGCTTGTATCTCTGCTTTCATGTAGCTTAGGGTATTGGACAAATCTTTTCGGCGAAGTTTGAAAATGTTTAGCAAATAGTTTAATTTTCATGTTATTTTCCTCTACAAAGCTGTGGATGCTAGTTTTAAAACATTTTTCTCTGGTTGGGCAGGCTATTTGCAAATTACCATTTATTAAGGAGTCCCGCCTTCTCTCAGAAATTGTAAAGGTGGAGCACACATTGACGGTAATGCTTGATATTATAGACGTATTTTCATACATTGAAATTACTAGTTCATGTCCTTTTTTTCTCTCTTAATATACCATATGAATGGTATTTATTACAATATAGGATGAAGAAAAACGAAGAAACGGTTTGGGCATGGATGTACTCTTTATTCACAAATCTCATTCTTTAGCATTGAAGATCTTTTCTTTCTATGAGAAAAATAAAGATCATCCAAAGTTGCTCGAGGCTAAAGTCAAACGAAAGATCGACCCTGAACTAAGGTGCGTTCCATGATGGAGAAGTGCTTGTCAAGGAGAGACTATCTTTTATTGTTTTGAAAATTTGAGATACTTTCATATATTATCTTCCATGCTTGTGTTTGTGCGGGGTTGGCCTAGTGGACACAACTTGAAGCCTGGGTGTGTGTTCCCTACAAGTCTCAGGTTCAATACTCACTGGCTGCGAAGCTCCTTGGGGCCAGCTCATACAGAGTGTTTGCTTTAGCTTTAAATGGGGCACCTACAAATGGGCGGTGGGATTGGTCCCTAAATATATATATATATATCCTAGAGATTGAAGTCATTCGCATAAAAAAACATTTGAATGGATAAAAACTTGCATAGATGTGACCTTGATTTGATTTTGTTGGATTTTGAAAGGAGTCTGACATGAAGTTGGGGTTTGCAGAAAAACTAGTAAAGTTCTAGAATTTGGTAGGGTTCAATTTGTAAACAAAAGTGAAGCTTCACAGTAGTAGTCAAAGTCTAAGAAACATGAGCACGTGACATGACACGACACGACACGACATGGATACAACATGAACACACTGACACGAAACATGGGGACACACAAAAGTATGGTTTTATATATTTATTTTGTGGCATATAATGGTTTTATATATTTATTATGTGGCATATATATGAATATATTATTTAAAGATAAAATTATGCAATATAACACTAATTTCTATAAAATTACGTTGTTTTTCTCTTATCATTGTATCCTATGTCAAATTGTTCTAACCTATAATTAGTTTATGGGTGTTTAAGCAATGATTATCCTCCAAGTGTCCAAAGAGTATCTTGGTCTTAAAAAAATGACATGTGCTGAGTAGTGTCCGATGAGTATTGGTGTCCGTGTTGACATGGACCAACATGGACATGCCACCTTCTTACAAGTGTCCATGCTTCTTACATCAAAGTATACCAGAAACACTCAAGCTATGTATATTTTAAAATTGATTTCCTTGAGTTGAGGCTATTGTGCTAATGTTTCCTTTTCTTTAATTTTTATTGGTTTGTTTCTCTCCATAAAATTTGCTTTTGGATTAGTGAGACTTAAGCCGTCAATGTTGTCTCTTATGGGAGTTATGGTGGTGTCAAGAGAGGGAGATGGGAGGAGGAGGGACAAGAAGCAAAGAATGCCGGCCATTGTTTGCGCATTTGTTTAATGCTGGTGGTCATTCTCTACTTTGATTTTTTGTTTTCCAAATTTTGAAACAAACTGATGATAATATATATATATATATATATATGATAAATGAAACAAACTGATGATAATATGAGGAGAAGTCGGTTAAGATGGTTTGGCCATGTGCAACATAGACCAAGTAATGGCTCAGTGAAGAGTGAATTTATCCAGGTGGAAGGTCCTGATACGATAAGAGCAAGGTTAAACACATGGTTTTAGTCAGCGAGAAATAGTATGATTGGCTTGGATTTGATTAAGGATATGGCTTCGAATAGTGTCAATTGAGAGAACAGATCCATGCTCCCAATCTCAAGTAAATTGGACTAAAGTTTAGTTGATTTTTTTTAATTTTGTAGTTTGGGAATGCTGAGTAAATGAAAGAACTCGACTTTGGATGTAACCATCAATTAGAGGATAGTTTTGGAATGTTGAGAGGTAACAAACTGTTTAGAAAGTGAAGCTAGACCTGACATTACTGTGGGCTTGGTGTACTTTCTTTGGCATGTTTTCAAATAGTTTAAACTTTTGAGAAAGTGGTTGTCTAACTTAGTATTAGAGTTTTGATTCTAGGAGTTCTTGGGTTCAAGTATTTCTAGTTGAATTGTTCTCCCTTTTGTCTGTCTGGTTGTACTCCATATTGTCTGTCCATCCATCTCTGTGTGCCAAGTGTTTCTCATGTCAAAGAAGGTGTGAGAACTTGATATAAATAGTTTGGTCTGTTCTCTAATAGGGCTTTTGGACAGCCATTGTATGACAACCACCATGACTAGCTGAGGTGACTTACCGCCTTACGTTTAGTTTGAGCATTTCTCTTCTTGCCTCTGAAGGATTTGTCTCATGCTTGACATGTTTCACATTTCATCAATGATTGACTTGCTGGTGCACTAGTAGTTTGGTTTGTATGCACAGTGATGCAGACCTTATAAAGGCTCCATGACGCAAACTCGGCATGGTATTACTAGTCGTATTCTAGTTAACGCAATGGCCCCGTTTGTTTTGGGGTTAAATAAATGGGAGGGGATTAGGATGGAGGTGGGGTTATTTAGTTTTTTGTTTGTTTGTAGAGTTGGGAAGGGGATTAGGATGGAGGAGGTGATATAGATGGAGGAGGTGGAGGTGGTATTAGAAAAATAGTGAGGGGTTCAGAAATTTTTTATTTATTTATTTTTTATATATAGGAAAATTTTTTAAAAATATTAATGTTTAATTTTTTATATTTTTTTATTTGTTTTATTATTTTATATAAAAATAATTTAACAATTCCTACACTAACAACTATTATCAAAACAAATACAATTTTACTTAATCTCCTCACTATCAATCCCTTCACTAACAATCCCCTCACTATTAATCCCCTCCATTTTACCTTTGAAAACAAATGGGGCCTATGCTTATAGCCTTGGTTATGCACATCTTTGAATATGTGGGGACTGTTGACAATGTAGTATACAGAGTCTTTCAATATACACCGTACTTTTTGTGCCAAAACTGCACCTGAATAAAATCCATTTATTCTCTGGGCTTCCTAGAATTGGTCTTCTCTTCAATTTAAGTAGATTGAACATTGGAGCTCCCAGATGCGGTATCCCAGATTACTCATCCAATTTTTACTCCAGTTTTTGTTTCTCCAAAATCTCTTCCCCCCTTTTGTTCTCTGCTATTGACAATCTTTCTGGTTTCTCTTTCTAATCCTTTTTGATACTCAGTTATGTGCATGAGTGAGCTGCACAGCCGTCTGCTTATTGATATGTGCACATGTGTATTTCTATGTATGTTTTAAAATCACTAGCTGATCACTGTTGGGGCTTCTCATGGGATGCTGCTGTTCCTTTCCTGAAGTCAGTCATAGAGCACTTTGTTTCCCATGTCAGTTTCAGTTTCCCCCCAGCTGAAATATGTAGATGCAGCCTGCGTCCTAAAAAGTAAATTTATGTCCATTTGATTCCACCAATATGGGACACAGTGCCCTAGGAGAGCCTTCAATTGGCTAATGACCTAGTAACTCTTGAAGTGGTATCCAAGCTTGATAGTTCATAAATTCACATGTTTCACCACTCTCATCTGGTGTGTCAGAGACTATGATCACCCCCTGGTGTTGTCCACCTCACAAAGAAACCTTGTCGCAATTACCTGAGTTTGTTGTGGACCATTGGAGAACAATCTGTGTTGACATCTATTCCTTGTTCAACCTTATGAAATTTTAAACCTTTGGTAGTGCATGGTTACTTGTTTTGCAAGCTTCACGTGATTTTTTGTCATGTTATGCTCTCTGGACTATAAGATGATCTTATTCTATTATTTGCTCCTTAGGAGTGCTAATTGAAGTTTGCCTTTCAGTTGAAGTAATTTTTAAAAAATGACTATATTCCAGTTTTTTTTTTTACCGTTCTGCTGCTAACTGAAACTTTCACGCAGCGGTGGGATGAATGGATACATTTATATTTCTGATAAACCTGTGTGTCCTCTGGAGATCAATCCACCGATTGGTGACATGGCGATGATTATGAAGAACGAAGTCCTGTATGTTTCTGGGGATGGTTATGTTTGCTTCGAACATAGACTGTACCAAGTGGTACATCACCAGTTCCTTGTCAACTATTAATTGTTCACTTTCTTCGTCTTTTGCAGATCTGTCTTCTACAAATACCCTTCATTTCATTCTCACATCCCAAAACCACCAGAAGGAGTGACTGTGCCTGAGAAGGTATGTAACGTTTATACATTGTTGCGAGTTTGAAATCCAACCAGTCAAGTAATGTTCAAAAGTCTAAAAAGATTTTGTTTTATTCATGTATTGTGCAAAATCTACTCAATCATGGTTAAGTTAGATTATGCCATGTTTCCTTGATTGGCATATTGTGAATAATATCATATCTATTTCATTCTTATTGAATGAATATATCGGTGTTTAATCCTTTATTCATGATAGTTGCATTGAGCCTTATTTCAGTCTTTATTTTGCTTGTCATACATCTTGTACTTGTCTTGTATCAGGCTGTCAAAAAGCGAGATGTCCTACCTTCACCTGTTCTATGGCATGAGAAATCGTCCCTTCTTGGACGCATAGTTCCTAAAAGGTGAGAGCTTCCAGATTTGTCCTTTTCTTTTGTAGTAATTACGTGTTGTGTCTGCTTGCAACCAAAAGCTAGTTCATTTTATGCGAAGATCAGGCTGTCAAAAAGCGAGATGTCCTACCTTCACCTGTTCTATGGCATGAGAAATCGTCCCTTCTTGGACGCATAGTTCCTAAAAGGTGAGAGCTTCCAGATTTGTCCTTTTCTTTTGTAGTAATTACGTGTTGGATCCATGTGTCTGCTTGCAACCAAAAGCTAGTTCATTTTATGCGAAGGCTCAAGCCAAATAGATAAGGCTTCCACTCCTTTTAATATGAGTTAGCTAGAGTAATTTAAACACCCATTTCCTATATAGTTGAATGCATGTCCTGATTATTTGCATAAAATGGTTGCCTTTAACCCACATGCTTGTGCTTATAGGCTGAAGCTTAACCACTGGTCCATTGCAGAAGGCATTGGTTCCATGATTCAAATAGCATCATTAAATGAAAGTTTGTTGATCCCTACTTCAACTATACAAGTATTAAGCAGATATTTCAAAACTTGAAAAGTTTTTTAAAATCAAGCTTGAGCAACCAAATACTTGGTTCGAATTGGATCATTTACAGCTCCATGTACAAAAAAAAACATGATCTCTTACCCAATTAGGCAATGATTCAGGTCACTTGACTCTGTTGATGTTACTTGGTCTATGTTTTGTTAGAAATCATTCCTTGTATTTGTTCTCATGTCTTCTGCTACACTTTGTGAACCTTTCCAGGCCACCCATCCCCGAGTCTGTCTCTGGTCATTCTCTTGCAAAACTGGCTCATCAGCTTGTTTGTAAGTATTATCTTGCAAAGCAACCAGTAAGCCATGGATACATGAAAGTTGGCAACCATGGAGGTGTGGATGACCCGACTTGCCAATCAAACTTGAAGGCTACAGTTTGTGGGAAGGAACTGGATGGAGGCAGTGAAAACTGCATTACTACTGAATCTAGAAAAAGGAAACGGAATAGAGGTAGTCGTCGGAGTAATAAACTCGGCAACCAAATAGGTGTGGATGACCCGACTTGCCAGTCAAACTTGAAAGCAACAGTTTGTGGGAAGGAACTAGATGGAGGCAGTGAAAACTGCACTGCTATTGATTCTAAAAAAAGGAAACGGAACAGAGATCGCCGACTTCGCCGAATCAAAAAGCGAAAGTTAATGTCGACGACAAATATAGAAGTAAAAAGAGAACTTAATGGTGGCTCAAATAATGGATCATTGACAAATTTAGAAGTAAAAGGAGAAGAATTTAATGGTGAAGAAGTTGGCAACCATATAGGTGTAGATGGCCCGAGTTGCCAATCAAACTTGAAAGCAACAGTTTGTGGGAAGGAACTGGATAGAGGCAGTGAAAACTGCATTATTGCTGAATCTAGAAAAAGGAAACGGAAAAGAGGTAGTCGTCGCCGTAATAAACTGGGCAACCAAATAGGTGTGGATGATCCAACTTGTCAGTTGAACTTGAAAGCAACAGTTTGTGGGAAGGAACTAGATGGAGAAGTTGAAAACAACCATGTAGGTGTGGTTGACCCGACTTGTCAGTCAAACATGAAAGCAACAGTTTGTGGGAAGGAACTAGATGGAGAAGTCAAAAACAACCATGTAGGTGTGGATGACCCGACTTGCCAGTCAAACTTGAAAGCAACGGTTTGTGGGAAGGAACTAGATGGAGAAGTTGAAAACAACCATGTAGGTGTGGATGACCGGACTTGTCAGTCAAACATGAAAGCAACGGTTTGTGGGAAGGAACTAGATGGAGAAGTCAAAAACAACCATGTAGGTGTGGATGACCTGACTTGCCAGTCAAACTTGAAAGCAACGGTTTGTGGGAAGGAACTAGATGGAGGCATTGAAAACTGCACTGCTATGATTCTAAAAACAAGTTACAGAACAGAAATCACCGACTTCGCCTAATCAAGAAGCAAAAGTTAATGTTGATGACAAATTTAGAAGTAAAAGGAAAACTTAATGGTGGCTCAAATAATGGATCGATGACAAATTTAGAAGTAAAAGAAGAACTTCATGGTGGCTCAAATAGTGGATCCTAGAGAGCTACAATTCTGTTGACCGGTATACATTTATAACATGCCCACTGTTGGTGATTTATAGAATTTTACCCCTGCATAAGCACGATTCCCTCTGCTCCATATTTGCCTTGAAAAGGTATTTTTTTCTTCGAAGATGGTTAATTGTTATTTTCCATCACCTGACTTGGGAAAAGAAAATGGAGAAAAGGTTATTGTAGCTCTGGTGATGGTTCAACAGTTCTATTTACATCAATTTTACGAGGGTGAAGAGTGTAAAGTCAACAGTTGCGGAACCAACAAAGCAGCATAGGAGGTAGGGTACCTATTGTTGTATCATGCGGTTAAGACCTACCGAGGGTTGGTTAGTATTCCCTCCAAGTTTTTTAAGAGTAAGAATATACAATTTGTTTATGAACTACTAGAAGTGAATTCACTTGTCAAGTGCTTTGGTTTGGAATGTCATAATTTAAATTTAGGTTTATTTTAACCATTATACTGGTGTTTGTTTTGTTGAAGTTTTGCATACCTTTGTGTTTCAAATTCTATGCTTTACTGTTGTCGTTGGTTCGAAGGAGAAGGTATTGAACTCTTTGGTTTGTCTATTCGTTTGTTTTGTTTGTTTGTTTTTGAAAGTGTTGTGGTTGGAATTAGGGGAAGTAAGCGAGCTGAAATTGTTTACACTTTGAAATTTTTTAAAGAAATGACAATAAAATTTTGAGCATACAATCACACAATATATCTATTCTACTAATTGAACTAAAATGTAGTAACATGATAGTATTCGTAATAAGAAGTATTTTAGTTAGTCTTATTGAAAAGCGTTTTAAGAATATTTGTTAACAAAGTTTAAAATAATTGTACATTTTATAAAAATAAACTAACTCTTATACTTATTAGCAAGTATTTTCGAGCATTTATTAACAAATCCTTTGATGACTATGAAATTGTAATTGTCCCTTGCTTGGGCAATGTTATCATCTCTTTCTTTCACACACAAATGTTTGATGTCACCATAGTATTTGTTAGTTATGCTTCCACCGCAACTCCCCCAATGCCGTCAACCCTTTACATCACTGTTTGAACTTGGCGGCCATGCATAGCGAAAGGTTTTGTAACGAGGCTTGTGAGTTTCTAAGCAAGTGCCCCATGTTCTTATAAACCGATTGCAATGCTGATTACACATTCCTTGTCTGTAGATGTCAAAAGCATTGTTTCCCTGCTGTGATTGAAGATAGCAATGAAAATGCGTAGTCCCACAGATGTTGTGAAATTTCCATTCGAAATATTGTTGATATTGGAGCACATGGATACCTAGATCATTGTATTTGAGCTTACAATGCAGAGTCACATTCAATCCTTGCCCTAGTTGATTTGTGACCCGTACCTGAAATATAGTAAGATTAGCTTTCCCAACATCAAGAGCAACGCAAACAGTACTAGCAGTAGTAGTGTAGTGTGAATGCATGAACTCATCTTTATAAAATCGAAGCTATAAAATAATTTTGTTGGTGGTAGGGAATAAGTTTGTTTGTCTTTGGATTTGGATCTCTTTTGGTTTTATAAGGGCTGAAGGAAGTTACTCTCTAAAAATTTAGGGTAAATTACATTTATCTCTCGAAATTAAGTCCCATGAGTTTAGCATAATTATATTAATATCATTTTTATCAAGACTGACAGTCAAAACTAATGTAAATGATGGATAGATACTAAAATAGTAGAGATAAATATACATTTTAGTATAAAAGAAATAATAATATTATTTTTTCATTCATACAACTAATGAATTATTAATAAAAAATATGAGAATTAAAACTTCAAAGAGATTGATATAAATATGTAAAAATTATAAGATTAATTGTATTTCGTGAAATTTCAAAGTAGGTGCAAAAATCAAAAGGATGGGCATGGGATTATTATTGTCTTCATATGTCTTTTTGGCCATGTTTGTTTCGTGATTTGAGTGGCCGGATTAGATTACCATGGTTGTGGATCCCACCTACAACATGTTTAGTTGCGAAATAGGAGGGTGGATTGATAATCCAAGGGGCTTTGTAATCCCCCTCAGTAAGAGGATTAACTTGGCTGGGTTTTGGGTGGAATTAGGAAAATAATAAGGCGATTGAGTCTTTTATATAAAAAAAAAAAAATTTTACCAAGTGCACCTATTTGTTTTATTTATTTTTTAATATGAAAATAATTTAAAAATCCCATCACTAACCATCTCCCGTACTATCATCAAAACAAACACACTTTTATTTAATCTCCTCACTAACAATCTTCATATTAACAATCTTTTCACTAATCATACTCTGACTAACAATCACATCCAACCTAATCTACCAAACAAACGTGGCCTATGGTGATTACCCATTTTATAACATGCTAAGGCCATGTATGGATGATCTTTTTTATTATTATTTTTTAATTTGACTTTTTGTAAAACCTAAACAAAAAAGAAGTAAAAAAACAAGTTTTTTTTTTTAGGTAATAAGGAAAGTTAAACAACAGAAAAGATAAGAAAAGAGAGGGTTAATCCCTCTCATACACAATTCCAACCATATCAACTACTAGAATGGGCCTTAACAAAATAGAGGGGGGGGGGTCTTCATAGATCTTCAAATCTTTTACCTGGTTTTCTCCCATATGAGCAAGGGCATCTGCGCACTAATTGGCTTCTCGAAAAACATGGTTGATAATGCAGTCCATACGAGAAGTAAGGAATTTATTGTCTTCCACAAGAGCACGGTAAGGGCAGTTTGGATGAGCTCCTTCATTAATGAAGTTGACAGCATCTTGACAGTCTGTTTTAATTATCACATTTCTCCAACCTTTTTCATGAATGATGGTTGTTCCACGATAAATAGCCCATATTTCTGCTTCGAGGCTTGTTGCTACATCCAACTTTCTAGAGTATCCCAGAATCCAAGAACTTTTTGCATCTCTAAAGAGTCCTCCAATACCAGCTTTTCCCAAACCTTCCTTGGCACATCTATCAACATTTAGCTTGATATTACCTATAGGAGGAGGCAACCAATTGATTAGTTTAATTCTTTGATGATCAGAGCTTAGGGGGCATTGGAAGGCCCATGGATCTCTTGAGTATACTGGAACACTAGGCGTAAGCTGTCCTTAATGTGAACATCACAGTTATCAAAAACAGTTTTATTCCTACCTTTCCAAATGAACCTAAGGGTGACAGTGAACCATATGTTCCAGTTGATACTTGCAAGTTTAGTTTTATCGCAAAGATTAAAAGAAAGCCAAACATCCAGAGGCTTATCAATGCCATCCCTAATCCATTGATCATTTTTCAAATTTGTCCACAACTCCCTTGAGTAATAGCAATCTCTAAGGAGGTGGCTCATGCTTTCTGCATTAGAATGGCATCTAGGACAAAGATCATTGCTGTCAAAACCTCTGCTGACTCTGAGTTGGTTTGTGAGGAGTCTACTATGCATAACAAGCCATAAGAAGCCTTTGAGTTTTTGAGGAATTTTTAATTTCCAAATCCAATTCCAACACAAGTTATGATCTTCAACATTAATGATGAGGTCATAAGCAGATTTAGAAGAGAATCTACCTTGGGAAGAACCTGTCCAGTGGGGTTTATCAGGAAAAGTCACAAATTGGGGAAATTTGACTTTATGGATGTTAGCAATATCAGTAGGTGAAAGGTGACTAGTAATCGGGTTCAAATTCCAGTCCCCCTCCTCATTAATGATAGTGTTGACAGTGCTATGAGTGTTAGTGTGAGGGCCAGGAGAAGTATTAGCTAAAGGTTGGGTTTCGTACCACCAGTCATTCCAAAGAGAAGCTTTATTGCCATCCCCAATAGTCCATTTGGTACCTAGTCTAAGAGTATCTCTAGTTTTGACAATGCTTTTCCACAAGGGAGAGCCTCTCTTACCCAAGGGCCAGTCAAAAAGGGAGTGTTTATGGAGGTACTTCTATTTCAAGATATCAGTCCACAAGCTATGATCATCATTAAGGATCTTTCAACCTAGTTTGGCAATGAGAGCATGATTATGGTGGCTAGCCTTTCTAATGCCAAGCCCTCCTTTATTTTTAGGTAAGCCAACTTGGTCCCAATTAATGAGGTGAACTTTTTTCTTGAAAGTAAAGTCGCCCCAAAAAAAGTTTATGTTTAATTTGTCAATGCTATTGCAAAGGTTTTTGGGGAGCTCAATGGTTTGCATAGCATAGGAGGGCATGGCTGAGGTGACAAATTGGATGAGGGTTGCTCTACCAGGCAAGGAGAGTGTATTGGTTTTCCAACAAGAGAGCTTTTTGTGCCTTTTTTCAATGATGAATTGGAATTAAGCTCTATTGACACAGTTATGAAGAAGAGGAGTGCCAAGGTATTTACCAAGATCTTGAGTGAGAGGATTACCACAATGGTGGCTAAGATTCGAGCCTTATTCCTAGAGACATTAGAAGAGATAAAAAGCTTGGACTTGTAAAAATTGATTTTTTGGCCATAAATATCACAAAAATCATTCAAAACTTCCATCATCACATCACAATTAACCATATTCGCTTAAGCAAAAAGAATGAGATAATCAGTAAAGAAAAGGTGATTTAGAGGAGGGCAGTTATTGGAGGCTTTAATCCCTCTCCAATCACTAGAATCAACCTTAAGATTGATCATGTTAGAGAGCCTTTCCACGCAAATGACAAAAATATAAGGAGAAAGGGGATCACCCTGTCTGATGCCTCTACTAGTGTGAAAAGCTGGCAAGGCTTCACCATTCCATAAAATAGTAGTTTCACAGAAGAGATAAAACTCATAATAAGATCAATCAAGTCTTTATTAAAATTAAATTCAACAAGGGTATTAAAAATAAAGTCCCAAGAGATCCTATCAAAAGCTTTTTCAAGGTCAATTTTAAGATCATACCGTCAAGTTTGCCTTTTTTATGTCTCAAAGTGTGCAGAATTTCCTGGGTAATGATGATGTTATCAGTGGTTGATCTACCAGAAATAAAACTACTTTGATTGGGGTTGATAATCTGATCAAGGAGAGGTCTAATTCTGTTAACAATAATTTTAGTGATTATTTTGTAGCTAGCATTCCAAAGGCTGACAGGCCTAAATTGCTTGATATTCTCAGGGTTATCAATTTTGGAAATCAAAGTGATCAAGGTTTCATTAGCCTCAATAAGAATTTCCTTATTGGCAAAATAGTTTTTAACAAGCATACAAACAGATGGACCAACAATGTCCCAAAATTTATGATAAAAGATGCCCTGAACACCATCAAAGCCAGGGGCTTTAAAGGCCCCAATGTTCTTAACAGCGCCCCAGATCTCTTTATCACTAACAGGTTGCTTAAGATGATGATTCTCTTCGTCGCTGATTTTAACTTTGGCAATGTTATTGTAATGCTCAAGAGTTTAGACATCTTCATGACTAAAGAGACTGCGAAAATAATTAATATATCAAGGGATTTCAAGTCATTGGGGTTGTTAATCCAGATACCATTATCATCACAAAGCATGCAGATTCTAAGTTTTCTTCTTCTAGTGATGGTAGACATGTGAAAATACTTGGCATTTCTCTCCCATTAGGCGAGCCACTTAACTCTAGATTTTTGATACCAAAGGATTTCCTCTTGGCGACGAACAAGATTGAATTCTTTTATGAGGCCTTTTTCAAGGAGAAACATGTTGTGAGTAAACATAGAGTCTTGGGCTTTTTGAATGCCTTCAATGCGAGATAAAAGTCTTTTTTTTTTTTTTATGAAAAATGTTGCGAAAAATGTCTTTGTTCCAGATTTTAGTTTTAGACATCATGAAGTTGGTTTTATCAATCAAGGAAGAGTCACATTCATTCCAAGCATTTTGAATAACTTCTTTAAAATTAGGATGGGCAATCCAAGTAGCTTCAAATCTAAAAGGTCTATTTACTGGAGTAGGGGTAGAGTTCATACCTTCAATGTAGAACACCAACGGAGCATGGTCTGAGTATGTTCGGGGAAGATTCCAGACACAACTTTCAAGGAATGCGTTCATCCATTGAGTGTTGCAAAGAGCACGATCAAGTCTTTCTTTGGTATTGGCTAATCCTTGACGGTTATTGGTCCAAGTGAGTTTTGGACCAGAACAGCCCATGTCCATGAGGTTGCAGTTACTGAGTCTTTCAAGAAATTTCGAATTCCTACTTGTATTAGTGTTCGGGATGAAACTTCTTCTTTCCCCTTGATTAGCAAAATCATTAAAGTCAACTGCCACTAGCCATGGGCTTTGAATGTCTTCAGAGATAGCTTCAATGCCTTCCCATAGAGCATCTCTATTTCTGGGATTAGGACTAGCATACACGGTTGAAGGAACCCATTCCTCGTAATCCACTCTATTGATTGTGGCATGTATTACTTGGTGGTTGGCTTCAAATACATTAATACTAACCTGTGAGGGCTCCCATAAAAGCCAAATTCCTCCAGCTCTACCATTCAGATCAACATTAGACGAGGCAGTGAAGCCCAAGTTGTTGAAGAACGTGCCCATAGAACTAAATGTGACTTTGGTTTCCATGAGAATTATCATATAAGGTTTGTGATTTCGGATGAGATCCCGCATGTTTCTCTTGAAGGTGTTTTTGCCGACCCCCCGGCAGTTCCAGATAAGCAAATTCATTGATCCCTTATTGGGAAGTTCTGGGGGAGTGTTGAAGTTTGGTTGACCCGTGATGTGATTAACTCTCTTGTAATCGTCCAGAGTGGACTTCATTGATGCTAGTTTCACCAAGTGTTGAATGTGGCCTGAGAGGCATTTCTATCTTGGTTCAATACTCATCCTTGCTTGTTCTACCCATCATTCTATGACGATTAGGTGAGTTTAAACCCCATAAAAAGTAATTTTTTTAATTGAAAAAAAGTACATAAATTACTAAAAATTAATTAAAAAGTTAATCCAAACAAATGCTTGCATCTAAATAGTGAATATTTTTCATCGTTTAAATACAGTATAAATAATATCTCATTCCATATTAGATCAAGAAAGGAATAAAATTTAGGACGCTCGGGCGAAAAATCGAATATTAAAATTTTCTTATCCAAAGGTCCATACACTAATTTATTATGTGCATAAGGATAAGCTATCATAAAATGACCAAACTACTCTCAAAATTGGGGGCTTGGAACCACTCACTTATATGTTCAAATTTACACTTTTCAAAACCCTTCTCTCTCTCTCTCTCTCTCTCTCTCTCTCTTCAATGGTGTTAGGGTTTTCAATCTTCGATGGTTCTGTAGCCATCCAAGCACCGAAAATTGCCTCCTCCGACACTGGTCTTCTATGGCCCTCACGACCCTCGTTTTTCTCATTGCGTCGCTTCTCTGATGACTCTTTAGTCGATTTTTGCTGTCGTTCTCCTCCTCCGCTCTACGTCTGGTTCGTCAACAAGATCTGTCCCTAGATCTGGTTCGTCAACAACGGCGAGCGTCGGTTCGTTGGCATCATTGCTTTCCCTGTTGTGTAGTCCCTTTCTCTTTATGATTTTTATTCTCTCTCTCTATTTCTCTCTCTCTCTCTCTCATTAGATCTTTGGCTCTCTCACTCCTTAGATCTATTTTTCTCTCTCATTCTCTGGTTGGCGTCATCCTCCCTCTTCTCCCTCTCTCTCTGTCTCTCCTAAACACCTTGTTTCTCTAAAAGCTTCTAGATCTGTATAGCATTCTAAGACCTCGTTTGTTTTCAGAGGTAGAATGGAGAGGATTGTTAGTGAGGGGACTACTAGTGAGGGGATTAAGAACAATAGTGTTTGTTTGATAATCAATGGACTAATAATAGTTCATGTTTGTTTTGAGAGATAAGGATGTGATTAACTATGTGAAATTTCACAAATATCTTTTTTGCATTATTATCAAATTTAGACTTATACCAACTAAAGAATAAATAAATTTTTACTCAATGCTATTCTTCTTCTTTTTATTATTTTTTTAAAATATTAAAGAATCCAACTACCAAAATTTTTTAGTCAATGTCATTTATTTATTTAATATTAATGAATCTAACTATCAATAAATTTTTAGTCAATGTTATTCTCTCTTCTCTTCTCTTCTTTTTCTTCTTCTTCTTCTTCTTCTTCTTCTTCTTCTTCTTCTTTTTTTTTTTTTCTTCTTTTTTTTTTTTTTTTTTTGTAAATATTAAAGAATCCAACAATCAATAAACTTTTACTCAATTATTTGTGTTTAATAATTACATGAGCCATATTATGAGCCTCATTCCAAGTATTAGGACCCTTATTTTATTTGTGTTTAATAATTACATGAGCCATATTATGAGCCTCATTCCAAGTATTAGGACCCTTATTCCATGAGTCATATTTTTCATAAATAATCCCAAAAAATCTAATAACCTTTTTTTGGGTAAATAAGTTATAAGTTAAAAGACAAAATATATAACGATTACAATGGGTATACCTCAGGAAACTAGCCACTATACAAACCACAACCATCAAACTAAACCAAAAACAAACAAAACAAACAAAAACACTAACTATGGCAGCCCAACCTGTTCAAGCACCATATAACAAAATTGTTACCCAAAAAGCAACCTAAGAGAGGGTGAATTATGTTTTTACAAATTAAAATAAATAATTCCCAATAAAAATTACAAACTAATACAATAATTAGAACAGTAGGCAAATTAGATAATTATCATACAGAGTCGTCGTCCACCTGGATGTTTGGCCGGTCGTTGCTGCGGCTAAAAGATCTGTCATTGCCTGGCCAAAAACTTGTCCAGCCGACCAAAAGACCTGTACGGCTGGCCAAAAGCCTTTGTAGCTTGCCAATTTTTTCTGGCAATTTTGGAGCTGTTTTGGGCCTGTTTTGGTCTTGGAATATATTTGTTTAGCATCATTTGAGCCTCCAAAGAGATAGATTAAATTGATATAGATAAAACATAATATATTTCTCAATTTAATTTACCAAGAACAAAATCAAAACGCAATCAAATAATCATCAAAATACAATATGGCTAACAAAAATGATCAGCCTAAACAAGGGACATAACTTGCCAAAAACCCAAGACAGCAAAATCTAAGTCCAAATAACAATATCAACTTGACATCCTTAATTTAAAAAAAGTTCCAAGCTACAACAAATTTATAATATACTACAATATACAATCCACATGGATAGGCCAAAACCAAATATACTAGTAGAACAAAATAAAAGCCGGCCCATAACAGACAATTCTAGCACCCAAGCAGCAACCACAATAACCTCTGGTCTTGGACACCATCATAGCAGAGGCATTAGAACAGAACAACTTGAAGTGGAAACCTTGACTACAAAAATCAGTCTTAACCAGCCCAACACAGCAGCATCATATAAACAGATTGCAGCAGTAGATTAAACCAATATAGCAGAGAGCAGCAGTAGCTCAACAAAAAGACCATCATACAATATATTGCAGCAGATAAACAGATTGCAACAGCAGACAATACCTAAGCTATAATATTTATGCATCACATTATATATTACAAGTCATGTGGCAAATAAAAAGAGCATCATACAATCGATGCCACATTCAAATATGACCTTTTAATAGCAAAGAAACCCACTCCATCTTGTCATTCTCATTTAAACTGAAGAACAAGTCAACTTTGTCTTCACCTTTCACTATTATAGATGCTGCCATCAATCTTTGGGTATTACTCATTGGCAACTTCAGAAGTTCTACATTAACCAACCTCCTTTGTTGGGATAGGTCATGTGAATATCCTATCCTATGAGCAATCTCCACTATCGTAATATTAGTATTCTCAATTAATGATCCAAGATTTTTTGCCATCTCTAATAGTTCAATAGGAATCCCCTTAGCAGGTCGAGTCCCTTTCTTTCCCAGTTTTAGTAGAGTCAGCATGGTTGGGAACATTACCTGTAGTAGACATTGAGTAGTCTGTATCACCCATGTTCATACTAAACTGTTCAATAGGAGACTGTTTTCCTTATTTTGTAGTTGCATTTGCATCCTCTTTTTCCATGGTCGCAACTGCATCAGCAAGATCCTCAGCCAGTTTATCAGTCTTCCTATCCTTTCCAAATAGAATAAGCCAATGGGAATGGCCCGTTTCACATCCTTTTTACATCTGACACCCTCTACACAAGTGATTATCCAATTATTAAAAAGAACAGATTGATTTATAAGTAAAGAATAATGCATGTAACAAAATAAAAATGAGATATACCTTGACATAGTTTAGCCATACGTCATCACTATCAACTGGGACCATCATTTGTTCATCATCCTAACCCAAACCACTTATCTTTAACATATCTGATTATTATCAAGCTTTCGCCTGGGATTACTTGTGGTTACATCTTTCATGGTTGTAATGAGGAAAACTTCGTTACGATTATTCCAAAACCTTCGAAGTTTCCCCTTCTTATGAGAACTAGTGGTACCTGTGCCATCCATACCTATATATATGTATATCATAAGTTCAAATCATAACACACACATCAATCATAAATAACAAATCATTTTACACAATATTTGTTACAAATACCACAAAAACTCAACAAATATGGTTTGAATTACATGCCATAATAAACTCTCACTATTACATGAAAATCATTATATAACACTAATTTATTGACCTCTGCTTGCTTGCCATTCATTAAACATTTGAGTTGACAAGGATGTTCTCCATTCACTCCATTGATCAGATGCTTCAACAACATCAATCATTTCATCTCCTAATTCAGTAGCTGGAGAAAGAGGATTCATTTCCTCATTCTCATCATCATCAAGATCCATAGGCATTTCAAGATCCATAGGCATTTCATGTTGTATGAGATTGTGAAGAAGGCAATATGCAGTGATAATATGAAATTGAGTCTTGATTGGAACATAAGAATAAGTCCTAAATATTGCCCACCTCATTTTAAGAGCCCCAAAAACCTCTCAGTGACGTTACAAGCAAAAGAGTGCCTCATGTTGAAAAAAATCTTATGGAGTTGTTGGGGGCATCCCCTTCTCTCCATGTGGAAAGATGGTAACGTTGTCCTCTATATGGTACAAGAAATCCCCCCTCCCAATTTGTGTGACCCGCATCTATGAGATAGTAGTGGCCTGTAATTATGTAAGATGGTTTCACTATGTATACAAGAAAATAATTGTTTAATATAGATAGTGTACTTATATATATAACAATATATAATTATCATACCAGTAAGGACTTTCAACCCATTGGGTCTACTGACAGCATCTCTAAGTACCCTAGATTCAGAAGCAGATCCTTCTTATCTAAGCAAGACATATATGAATTGCATGTCTTAGGAGCACACACCCAATACATTTGTGGCAATTTCTCCCTTTCTCGTTCTATACCTTGGTTTGTCTATTACAGGAGCAAGAACCTTAACATAGGTTCCATCTAAAGCACCAAGACATTCTAAAAATAAAACAATATTATAAAATTAATAAAGGCAATACAAAAATTTAATATGCTAATTAAGCGAAGTTGTAAATATATTGTACCTGAAAACAACTCCATCTATCATCTGTACAATTAGCAATTATTGGTTTAGGCTTCTTAAGGAGGAGACCATGGAGGCACAACATGGCCTTGAGAACATTATTGAAGTGCTTACTAACTGTTTGACCACACCGTATGAAATTAAATTAAATTTTGCTGTTCTTAGTATGATGTGCAAGCACATTCAAAGACATTGCTACTTGCTCCTCTAAGATGACATACTTTGAATTAGACAATCCAACACTTTGCACCAACCCAAAAGCATAAAAGTATGCCTATTTATCCGAAGTTGGTCATGACAATTTATGTCACTATCGCTGACCAATCTATTCAAATAGTCAATTTGTTTTCCATAGGGATGAGGTGATCTAGGTAGTTGCAACCTAATTTCTTTCTTCTTGAATGCAGTATGTAAAATCACTATATACACAGCACATGCATAATTAATGGATGAAACTACACGTTAGAGGGTTACAAATTCCTCCATGAGGTCCTTTCTCCATTTCTTAGTGACATAATTATTATCCATCTACAAAAAATGAATAAACAATAAGCGGCTTAAGTTAGCACAAAAAGTAAAACAAATAATAGATAATAGAAAGCGTTTAATATGATAAAACAAAGTGCAACTGCCAACAAGCCATAGCATGGTGAGTTTAAAGTACAGTCGAATAGCAAATTCAAAAATGATAAAATTTAATCACCTTTATTTGTACATAATTTCTAGAGCCTTTCTTAGTTCATATGAACACAGCTTAGTGAAAACATCATGATACTTCAAACCTATTCTATGACTTGACATGCCACTAAGATTAAAATAAAAAGACAAGCAAAAAAGAAGAGTAATAACAAAAAATATTCAACCTGCTTAAGACTAACATTTGAAACTTAATGGGATGAAGGAGTCTTTTACTCAACACTTGACTGGTCATTTTGTCAGTATTTGATAATTATCAAGCAGTTGCAACAAATCACCACAATAAAAGGAGTATTCTCTCTGATCAGAAATTTAAGTTGTGGACATTGTGGAAGGTCTAACCACATCAATTTCAAGCCCCTAAGCAGAGTCCAACAAAGGTACATGCTTAAGCTTTACTTGACTTTTGCAAAATTTTATGGGTTCCCCACAACCCTACCTGAAATTCACATAATAATTTAAAAAATAAAATAAAATTGTAATTGAAGGGAAAAAAATGAATTGCAAACACAAAAACAAAAAAGAAACCAAATAGAAAAAGTTATGAAAAAGGGAAAGAAAAATGAGGAGAGAAAAGAAACAAGAAAGGAAGAAACAAAGAACAAACTTACATAGGAATAGTAAAATGGGGATTTAATAGAATTGGGTTGTTTTAAGCTATTCAGTAGGTTAGTGTTGTATAATAGGTAAGAATCAATACCTTTGAAACCTTTGTTGGGACCTCATATTGCTAAATATGCTTATAACTCTTTCTTACTCAAGCAGTTGCCCTGACAACTATCCAAATCATTGATCGATTGAATTTTCCATCTAAATATCTATGAACATGAAAAATCCTACTTCAAACATAAGTTGCTGATAAATCCTAAATATGCTTATGCCTTGTAGTTGTTGAAAATTCTTTAACTTCAGTTGCATCAATAAGTTATTCTTATTCTTGGTTTTAAATCTGAAGAAAATTACAGCAGTAGACAGAAAAGAATTTGACAAGGAGGTGAATTGAGCTAGATTTTTCATAACATCTGTCGAGGGGCATTATGCAGCAACACAAGCAACTGTGGGGCTGCCCTTGTAACATATGTTATAAATAATGCATTACAAAGAGGGGAAAAGAAAATAAAATAAAACACAAATGATCTCTCTTCCATTCCATAATAATAGAAATGGCCAAAACAGAGCATCATTTCTACTTCATCTCTTTCATTTATTTATTTTTTGTTTTCACAACATATCCCACCCATAGAATAATAATAATAAGAAGAAGAAGAAGAAGAAGAAGAAGAAGAAGAATGATGAAGAACAAATCTGAACAGAGAAGAGCTGGTGTGGGATATGTTATTAATAAAATCTTGTAATCAAAAGTAAAAATCTGAATAAATTGATAACTTGATTGAAGAAAATGTTTCAACTTGCTTGAAACCCAAAAAAGATAGATCAAATCATAGATGATAAACCAAAAAATAATGGGGAAAAAAAAAAAAGGAAACCCATTTACAAATCATAAACAACAGAAAAACAGGGGAAATTTTGGGGCAGAGAAAACCCCAAAAAAAAAAAAAAAAAAAAAAAAAAAAAAAAAAGAATCCAAATAAATTGATAGCTTGCTTAACAAAAAAAATTACCGATGCAGCAGATGCTCAACTAAATCTGAAGATCGAAAATCTCAAGATGAGAGAGAGCTTTACTGTTGTACTTGAGCTTCTCTTTAAATCGAAAATCTAAAAAAAGAGAGAGCTTCTCTTCTTGTCTTTCCTTACTACTGCTCTGCTAATCCTGCTTCTGCTTAAGGATGATGGGTAAACAAGTAAATCACTCTCCTAATAGCAACAGACTAAGGCAAAGTTTGGGAAGACTAAAAAAAAAGTGTATTTTTTGTCTTTTTGGACTAAAAAATTGAGGTTGAAAATATAGATGTTTTGGTTAATTTTTTGACTTTTTATTGAAAAATGTGTAATAAAAAATTGTAAAAATTGATTTGTAGGGTTGGTTTGTAGAGGAAAATTTGAATGGGGAGTTGTGCAGCCGTAATTGTTGACTTTTGGTGAATAGTGTTAACTTTTTAACTTTTTGAGTAACTTTTTGGCTTTTTGACTTTTTTGGAAGTACCCAAACTTAGCTAAATTTTCAATAGCAAGTGTTGGGCCAGACTGTGAATCCCATATGCAAGGCCCATCTTATGCCCTTCGACTTATGAATTCCTTTCTCAAATCTACAAACAAACAGAATATTAAATGGGTCACACCTTTATCCTAGTCCCATCCCTACTTCTATACCCCAAAACAAACATGGCTTAAATGTTTAGTTAATTTTAATAACCCGTTAATATCAACTAATCATGAAAAAAAATAATAATAATAAAAATAAAATAAAATATTTAATTTTATAGTTATATGTGTTAACCATATCAAGAGTATTGTCAGTCACTAGAGATAGGTGGGCATCGTCAGAGATAGAAAAGCGTCGTCAGAACCCCGAAATACAACCCTCGAAAAGGAGGTCTTTCAAGTGCTTGGCCATTATAGTAAAGATTCAAGGGTATGCCAAATCTAAAATAAACACGGAAAATAGGATTACAAAGAGGAGAAGAAAACTTACAAGAGGCAAGGGAGATAAGGAGAGACAGGGAGAAGTTACAGAAGACGCGAATTAGAGAAGAGGTATCGACTGGCAATCTTGGAGGCTCAAATATTTGAAAAAGTATGCATTCGAAGGGACTGGAGTTTCAAATCATAATAAATGCAAAAGATGCATGAATGAGGCGGGAAAGTATAATGATGACCAAAGGGCGTGTGCGTTCTGATGCTCACATTGGGATAGGTAAAGCCGCCTAACTTTTGTTTCCCCTGACTTTTCAAAATTCGAAACCAAACACACCCAATAATTACCGTCAATGGGGAGTTTGGGGGGCAGTTGTGGGAGCCGAATAAATGGCATAACCAGAAACACACACTCTACAAAACGGATACTACTCGGCTCCATCCTGCACGACCAGGAGGCCGAGTGAATTAGATAGGCCAAGTACCTATTAAACTATGAAGCCGAGTAAATAAGAGAATAATGAGTGAAAAGTGGGCCAGGACTCGAGGCCCAGGAAACGAGTATAAATAAAAGGGGAACAGACAAGGAAATGTATGTGAGAACTATTAAGCTTAACTTAGAATACAAGTAATCTTGAGTGCAGAGACTAACTTGCCCGTCGGAGTGCTAATTCTGGCACCTACGACCGGAGTGTTTATTCCTTTTCAGGTGACTAGCAGAAGATCACGAGCGTTCTCCAGGATCAGAAAACTATTTCCAAACCACTTCCCCACAGTCTTTAAGACAGATTCGCCCAGCTACGGTGCTTACGGTTGAGTGGCATCTATCTCCCATGATACAATGATCTTCAAAAATTACAGTAGCACTCCAAACAATTTGTTCGGCGAACCAAACCTGTGTTCTAACTCTCTGAATTTTATTCTAAAACTAAAATGAAGAATAATGCACCAAAGATAAAAGTTTGAACAGCAAAAGAATTATTTTCAGACTGTTTTTTCGGTGCCCAAGACTGCTGGAAATGGTCTGAATTTATAGGCAAAAAATTCTGTCCCAACAGGTGTGTAAACCGCCAAACAGATATGACACTGTTTTAGGACAGATTCAGATTGGGAATTGAACAGATTTGCAACTGTGCAGATTTGAATCTGTCCGAATTTCAACATATTAAAACCTGTCTTGACAGAATTTTCTGGATGTTGTTATCATCCACAATCTGTAGGAACAAGTCTACAATATATAGACCCAAATAGGTAGAAATTTGAAGTGAACACGTGTAAACTATTTTTGAACAGATGCAGTTATAAAACAAACAGATTTGCAGCCAGATTTTTGAATCTGTTCGGCAGTGCTGGGTAGTTATTTAGCACTGTTCAAACAGTTTAAAAAACAGAATTCGGACTAGAAGAGGCATAAAACATGGACAGAAAATTTAAATTCAAATTGAATTAAATTTTATTTAGATTTTTCTACAAAAAAATTCAAATAAATTTTGTCCAAAAAATTAATATTAGAACCGACCTGACCCGACCCACACTCGTGCCCGGCAAGGCCAGACGGACGGCGGCGGCGGAGCGCGCGCACGTGGTGGTTTGGGCTAAGGTTCACTTTGTCCATAACTCCTCCTTTCTACAAACTTGGGGTGCCCCTTGGGGCCCAACCCAAGTGTTGTAGGCTGGAGTTTATATACTTAACAAAACTCTCTTAAAGTTTCAATGTGGGACAAGCCTCACAAGGAAACTTACATTAAAAACTTTAAATGTCCATTCCACGAACCCAAAAATGACGTCATGTTCCCATTCACTCATAAATGGTTTTGACGAACCGTCTTCACCGTGTGACTTGCCACACGGCAAGGAACACTTCATCTCTTCGGACTCATCCCAAAAGACGTTCGGGGCCCACTCAATTTTGGGCTCAAAGTCAGCACAAAATAAGCCTAATAAACCAATTTTTCCAACAGTAGAAGGGGTTGAGGATGACAAAACAAATTTTGTAGCGTAGAAATAGTAGGTCACAATGATGAAAAGTTGTGCTTCTGATTCTTCTTCGTCCTGCCGCCACCCCCTATAATGGCGTCGTCGTATTGCGAAGCCTATGAAGTCCTGATCAAATCCTCACCATCGCTGAAGTCCTTGTCGTCCCCGAAGTCCTTCTCTCTTTTTTATTTCTCTCTTTGCCTCAGTCGATCTCTAGGGTTTTCTATCTCTCTCTCTTTCTCTCTGTTTTTTTTTTTTAGTGGATTGTTGTTGATTTTGTTGTTGTTGATGATGATGTTGATGAAATAGATTGCAACAAATTATTATTATTATTATTATTATTATTATTATTATTATTATTATTATTTTGACAAATAAGTTAGATTTGGTTCAAATTTTGAACAGATAATAATAATTTGTGAATTTTTGTGTAATATTTGAGTGTTGGTGGTGGATAATTCCAACAGATAGAAAAATTAGTTTGTGGATTTCAAACAGATACAAAAAATGAGCTTCCAAATTTGAGTTGCAGATAAGAAATCATTATTTTAACAAATAAGAAAAATGCAACAGATAGTAGAGAAAATAAAGATTTGAACCAAAACAAAATAGGAAAATATTTGAACAGAGAGTTAAAAAAATTAAACAGATAGTTAAAAAATTGAACAGATAATAAATTTTTGACAAATATTTGAATAGATAAGGAGAAGAAAATTGAACAGATAGACATAAATTTGAATAGATAGTAAAAAAACCAACAAATAAAAAAAGTCAACATATAAATTAAGGGAAAAAATTGAAAACAAAATGTCTTTCAAAAAAAAAAAAACTCCTCACCAAATTATTTCACAAAAGGTGGACTTTTCACCAATAAAAAAAATATCTATTGGACCTAATGCCTTATACCATCCTTAGGTTGGATTTTTTAATAGTTTTCTCTAAAATTTTATAGCTACATACCATAGTATATATGAATTTAATGTATCAAGTTTTTTTTTTTTTTGAATAATCGGGTATCCAAGTCAATTTACGCACACTCCGACTAAAATTTATAACTACATGCCATAGCATATATGAATTTAATGTATCAAGTTTTTTTTTTTGGTTAGATAACCGAACGTTTGGACCAGCTCGCGTGCACCTTGACTAATTCTAGAAAGGCAGAGCAAACGCCTTGAATGGAATGGCCACAAGAAGCTAATTTTAGCTAGTGAATATTGAACTTAAGAGATGAAGGGAGCACACTCTTAAACATCAAGTTATGCCCATCAGAATTAATGTATGAAGTTGGATTATACTTTATGCCATTAATATTTGAAGTATGCACCCTTATTCTTAATTTAATTGAGACTAATTTTTTTGACCTTTTTTTATTTTTATTTTTTTTATTTTTCATTGTATTAGCCTTTAATATATCAAGTTAGATCCTACTTTATGCCACAAATTAATTAATATTAAATGTATGCACCCTAATTCCAATTGAGATTAAATTTTTTTACCCTTTCTCTTTGCTCGAATGCTAGAAATAAGACAGTTAATATATATATTTTTTTATATTAGATGCTTTGAGAATACTTTTCAAGGTTTTACATATTGATCGCCCAACTGAAATGAAATCTTATAAATATTTCATTTTTCAAACTGTTATTTTTTTACAATGGCCATTATTTCTGTTAGCTGTTATCTATTCCTATTATACATATTCCTATTATACTTAGGATTCTTGTATTCTGGTACACCTAGGTTTCTTGGCCTATATATACAGGCTTCTCTTGTTGTATTGAATTGATTGAATATATACAATACATATTATTTTTTCTCTCTCTACTCTTTTAACATGTACCAGAGCCCAGGATTCTCTCCTAGCCTCTTTTTCTTCTACTTCATCCTGTGTTTTTTTTTTCTTTCTTTCTCTGGCAGATTGTTTCTGTCTCCCATTACTCTCTGCTGGTTTCTGCATATCTAGTCCATCCCTGTTTCCACGTTTAGCTTATACCAGCCTCTTCGTCTCTTCAAGACGAA